AAACTATCCAAGAAAACGCAGAATTCATGATAGAAGTTGTGGTCAATTTTATCCTTGGTCCAAGTTTTAATTCGTTTGCTTTTTTACCCTGGGTGCGATAGGTATTTTTTTCGCGGCGAAGCCCGCAACGAGGCGCAAAACGCATAAACCGTTGGTGAGCACGGCGACTTATTTCATCCTAGGTAATTTGAGAACGGACGCTTGCAGCCATTGTTGTTGTTGTTGTTGTTTTTTCTGGCAAAGAATGAAAATAAAATTTGGACCAACGACAAAACTGAACCTCAACATATCCACTTTTTCCTATAGACTGAGATATCAGTATTTACCTCTATCGAAGTTGTATTGTCTGGAGAGAATTTCTTTCCAGTGTCTACTGCATTCCGAAGATAGTTTTTTGGGTTTGTCGAGTCTTCTCACAGCCAACGCTTCAATGTGGTTCTTAAATTCTTCATCTGTCATTGCCTTAATGTACTCCTAAGCAAAAAGATAAACTAATGGTTACTTTACACCAACTAAGACATCCACACAGACAAATTTGGATTCTCTGAAAACCAACCTCAATTCCTTCCAGGAACTTTTCGATGCGCGAATCTAGCAAGGAAGGTTCTTTTTCAGACTGAATTATCACGCGAAGTCCCTAAAAAAAATTTACAAAAATTTTGTTAACAAAGGCAACTTAATGATTACGTCTTTGGATAGGATTCGGTTATGGAAAGTCAGAAACGTTTATAGTCAGTTGTATCACCCCGGGCACTTTTCTATTTATTTATTTGGTCTTTATAAACTTGCATCAGTTACGTATTCGGCTGGATGAGAAGATGGCTACAAACAACAACAACAACCATTTCTTTAGTAAATAAAAATCAAAATAAGATTATTCCAACCTGCACACCATTGCATCTTCTTACTCCACTCCAGACAATATACCCTGAAAGGTAAGTAAAGGCAAGTAAGATTGTATGGTTCTTCAACGACCAAAACCAGTTAGTTGCTTGACCAAGAATTCAGTGTGTCATTGGACCTCTTGGCGGTTTTTTCATCTTAAGATATAGAACAGTTTAGAAAAAAATCCTTAAAGTCAGTAAATTTGCCAAGTTCGAGCGTAACATGCTGAGAAAAAAACAAAAAAATGGCTTCGTAGAGTCGCGAAATTTTGTATTACGGGGACAAGTTTCAAGCCCCACCCCCCATACCTCTCTCCACCCTCCCCAAGGTGTTCAGCTGGAGCGGGCAGCGAGACAGGAAGAGCGCAGCAAGGAGAGAGCTGGAGAGAGAGGCGGAGCTCCCTGAGTCTGGTTTTGTTGTTATTGTCCTTGTTTGTTAATTTGTTTTTTGCTCTGCTCTCCATTTTGCGCTGTTCTTCACTATCTGAACACCTGCAACAGGCGAATTGAAAGTCCATCGTTTGACCATTACACCCTGTTCCTGGTAAAGGCGGAAATTTCTACTATTAGCCATTAATAATGCACAATGCATCATACGCCCCGTTCGCCCCCCCAAAAAAAAACGGTACTTTCTTGGTGTTGCAGACGGCTGCAATCACCAAATGACGAAATACAAAAGATTGAAAAGACATTAAACAATACCCAAACGGCTTTGATTCAGAGGCTTTTCATGCGCCGAACCTAATGCATTACTCATATTCGGCAAGTATCGATTGTTTTGCCTCAAATGGTTGTACGTTTGACGTCATCAACAGGCGTACTCTGTTAATTTGGCATTCTGAGGGACTTTAAGCAAATCGCTACGGCGGTCGTGGATGCGGAGTCCTGGGGAGAGTAAGGCATCGTAGCCCGCCAAATTTAAACATTTAGGAAGCGGCAACCAAACAGCGATTAAGGGCTTTCTCGTTCATTTGCTTTTGCTGTTAGTAAAACGTAGGGATGACGTAATTATTGAAAACCAGAAGTGTCAAATACTCTCTTGATAAAGTGAAAAACAATCTACGAAAGGTTTTAAAACCAATGATTATAAAAAAGTAGGAGAAGGTCGAATTTCATACTCACGAAGTAGCGACCACGCCACAAGACAAGTCCTCTCGTTGTAGGATTTGGCGCTATGGCGAAAGGTAGTTTCTGTGCATACGTACTGCGTCATTTTTTTGGGTGGAGTGGGGGGGGGGCTTTTTTAACTTCCGGCCGTCGTAGCGATTTGCTAAAAGTCCCTATTAACTCGAACTAAGTTTGGCTCATGAAAATTTCGTAGTCTAACCAGGACGTATAGTGTACGTGCCTACGGTTTCATTACCAATGCCTAGTTAACAAACCTAACTGCTCCTGTGTTCTCAAAGTGTTGAAACACGGCTCCGATATGATTTGACAAAACAGTTCCAGAAGAATGTTACTCTTAGTAGCTTGTAAATCACACTAAGAAAAAAAAAGAATCAATTATCATCCATTTCGTTACCGTTTTTTCAACGAAATCAATCAAACTAGCAACTTGTCCTTTTAACTAACCTGATAATATATTTCCACACTAGAATTATTGTGAACTTCATTTTCCATTTCAAATAGATAAGAACAGCCTAAAACAACAGACCAACGGAAATATGCCTCAGTATAGATGTAATACAGGAAAATCAAAGCAAAATTGAACATCAACAGTTTTATAATCGAAAACTATAGTCATTAAAGCCAGAGAAACACCAATGTAATAAACTGAAGAGCCCTCGAATACTGCACAAGTTTGTTACAAGCCTAAAGGTTCTGTATCACTTAGTAGTATTCCTTGTTAGCTTTTGTGAGACAGATTGCACGAGACGATGTCAGTCTCATATAGCGCGCACCCCCTACAACTACTGCAGAGTCACAGCGATCATTGCGAGGATAATATTTTACTCTACTTCGTCCAACGCTTACTGCAACGAAAAGGTTGCGTGCTTTCAAGTTAGCCCCACTACAAGTGCCGAAACCACATCACAGGGAGCCCACCAGGCTAACTGAGAGGCGCCTATAGCATTAGTATTGCTAGCCTTAGGCAATGAACAAGATACTGGCCGCTTAGTAGCTGTATCTCTATGACACGTATTTACCACAATAGTGCGTGAGCAAGACAAATGGACGGTACGGTACCCTGGGTGCCAGAGACTTTTCACGTGCACAGTTTCGGCCAAGTCTTTAAAGTGACCCGCGCGAAAAGCAGGTTTTTTCTCGAGGCTTCGTCCTATAGCCCGAAGACGTGTCAGTCTGCGACTAACCCCGAGCATCTACACCACTCTCAATCTCCACGCTTGAGACTAAACCTCTGGTACCCAAGATAAGGGTACCAGAGAGATTATTAGTAGCCTATCAGACGGGAAATAATACTCACCGCTGGGTAACTGTATCTCTCTATGTCGCATCAACTGTTGGGGCAGCAACGGTTTTGTTTTGCCGTTTTCCTTAAGAATTGTTTCCACGAGATCCGAGGTCCCTAAGGCCTCCTGTAATAGAAATATTGGCCATTTTGAGGCGTTGCTTAAGACTGGGTGTGCGTTTAGTCCACTTGCAGTATGGGAACGTTTTTGGGAGACCTATCATTTCTCTCATTGCCTCTAACGAGCTCGAGGTTGCGTAAGAAAGTGGCTCTAGATTCGCTCCCTAAAACAGTGCCATAGTCTACAGCCCAACTTCAAAATGGCCGCCACCACCACGCTTTTCTTCTTAATTTAGCACAGGTAATGATTTATAACAGTAAATTAATGTGCTTAGCTTAGCCTTTCCAAATTTCCCTTGATTGATTGGCATAAAAACGAGACTTAAGCTTTGGTTTGAAATAACTAATTGCAGATTGCTTCTTACTAATTTATGCTATAAATAAACCATGAATGATGTTAAGATCACCTCTTTTGTTAAGTTTCCATGAAATAAACATTCGATGTGAAGCCTTCCCAGCAGATCAGGGATGAAAGCCGCTAACTTTTCCACGGTAAGCTCTGAAAGACAATCCGGACACAGCAAGATTAATTTCACGTACTCTTAACTGAGGGACTGTGTCTCAGCTAACCATCAAATGGCAAACACTTGCCTCGTTTTTGACAAAGATATTAGTGAGCTTAAGCAACAACGAAAGCAACGGCTACGAAAACGAAACTTAAAAATACTGAATTTCCACCGCTTCAAAATTTTTCACGCTTATTCCATCTCGTTCAGTTTCTAAACTGTTGGCAAATGTTTCTTCAGTTGAATTCAAAGGACTGTATCAAAGTTCATGAAAAGAAAAAGAAAGGCATTATCTTGTGTTCTCGTCCTCCACAAAATGTGAAATTAGGTATTTTCACGTCGTAGTCAAGCAGCGACGGTAAAGAAAGGTACAAAAAGCGTGAAGCACGTGCAGAGTTGTTGTTTTGCTGATCTAAACAAATTTCTTTTTGCCGTTTTCGTTTGCGTCCCCGTCGTCGTTGCTTAAGCTCCCTGATATAAAAACAAGTGTAAGGTTGAAACAAGGCTGAATAAAAGTTACCTTCCATCGCATCTAAGAGCTCATCCTTATGCCAAGCCAACTCCTCTAGCAGAAATGTAGTGTAATACAAGGCGTGCTGATGAGGCTGTTCAGCAGAGAAGTTCTTCAGAGCCACAATACACTAAAAGCATAGACCGAACCAATTTTGAGCACATGAAAAGCATGAAGGAGTAAGTACCCGGGGGGTACTCCCTATGATGGCCCATTACGGGGGAGGGGGGTTCCGCCCGAAAGGGGTATCTTTTTAAGGCTTCAGGTATATGAAAGGGTAGGGATTTCACTAGCTGAAGTATATAAAAGGGTAGCGAAATCTGTCATTTGGGTCTGTAAAATGACCCAAAAAGGCTAACAGATGAATTTCATGACTTTATAAAGTCGAGAAAACGTTCTATTTTTGTGATTGATTCCTGTTTAAAAGACAGTGCATTTACAGCAGTTAAAAGGGACGCAGAGTTGTAAACAAGGTATGTCAAAGGGGTTACCTTTTTCGTCAAAAATGGTATATAATAGGGTAAGGGCTAAGACCTCGGGGCGGAAACTCCCGTATAAACATTTGTTGAGTACCCCCGGGGAAGTAAGTGCCGACAATGTAAGTACCGGCTGTTTCATATGTTATTTTAAACGCTAAAACATGTTTTTGCATCAACTGAATTTCAAAAATAATGGTCTAGTTTTGTTGTTCAAGACTATATTTAGGCATAGTAACTGTTTCCTGTCGACTGTTGCTATGGATGGCACGGATGAAATGGATTGAAGCTTGACAAAATTTGGGCAATTTTTCTAAATTTTAATGCTATTCCTGCAAAAATCACCAAAACGTTTTAAGGTAAGTGTTCCTTGATGAGCTTGTTTGATATCTTCTCCATAACTAAACAAGAGTAATTTGTGTATGGGAAGAGGCACGAAGTAATGACTTCTTTTAAAAATGGAAATGCACGTTGCTGTTCTAGCTAGTTTACTGGCACTCAACTCAAATAATCATAAACAAATAACCAGGTGACACATAACATAATCGAAAACCACAGCTAGGTTTAAAAGTGTGGACGCAAACTCACCCAGTTGTTCGAAGGCCGATTGGCGCTTAACCCAGGGTTAAATTTAACCCGAGTTTCTTTTTCTTTTCTTCAAAAACATTTTCTCGGATAATTTTCTCTGTTATAGTTTTAAGAGCATCCAATCATCAACTTGTTGACAAAAAGACTTAAACTAAATTTACTTTTTAAGCTTTCATATCTGAATTCAAATTTCGCACTGACCCTCGGTTATCTTAACCCATCTTGGAACAACCCGGCCCCGGAGCGGAACTCGAACCCAGACCTCCGGATTGAAAGTCCCACGCGCTGTCATAAATATCGTTGAAACTTCCTGGATGATGGCGGTATGGCCTTTAGCACTTACCCTTTCTTTGAAGACTGAAAATCGTTTAGGATCCACTTGGAAATTTGTTATTCTCTCTAAAATCTTCTTCAGTAAAACTGGCTGTTTGTGATTATATCCTTTGATAGCCAGCTGAAAAACAAAACAGAACAACAGAGAATTAGAAGGATGTTAATCAGTCATAAGAGAGCTTTAGATTAGAGGACGAGAACAAGTATGAGTACGAGATTTAACTTGAATGTTTCTGCGCTTGTTCTAAAAAAAAAAGACACCCCGGAAAGCTTCATTTTACTCTTGTTCCCCAGAAAAGTTAGTTCGGTTATATAAACTGAACGTTGAGCCCTCTCCCGATAGCAAAATGATAAAACTTCTCTCATTTGATAACTTGTTTCCTCCACTACGACATTCTCGCGAAAACTGGTCGGCGAATGACGACGGCTATCACGTTTTCCCGCCAAAATGACGCTGGTTCACGCTTGAGCTGTTGACACAGCAGGCGGCTCGAAAGAAAAAAACCGAGTACTCCCGAACCTATGACCTTCTGGCCACTAGTCTAGATACTCTACCACTAAGCTATAGGAGACTCATGGGAACTAAGGCCACTAAACAGAACAAGTTACATTAGAGAGGTTAAGATTCAAGTTTAAGTCAAACGGCAAACGCGAATTTGTACCACGTGACCAAGTTTCCCCTTTACTTGTCGTTTACTGGTCATTATTTTTAAACATACATTAGTAGTTTCACGCAATTTTTTATCCATAACAATTGTTTTGAATCGTTTTTATCTGCTCATTTTCTATTTTGAGAAATTCTCAACTTGAATATGACGTTTGCCGTATACGTGAAGGTTAAACTCTCTGTTATCAGTTGCTGCAAAATTACGGCAACAATGCAGCTGCAAAGTTTCAAGTTGACCTTCTCAAAATAATGGAGAATTCAATAGTTCATTGACTTGTGGATAAAAGACACTAATTAATTTTTATCGAGATTTGGTCAAAATTTCTTGATAAACAAGAGAAAGAATTCGCACAGTCGGTAACGGCCAGGCCAGGTGTGACCTCCTTGTTTCGACTTGATTTTTTCCTTTCTGAGTAGTTTTAAGTAGCTAAGTCAAATAATCCTTAAAACAGAAAACAGGTGGAGAGAGAGGGTATAATGAACGTACCGTCGGCCCCGTATTCCCAGTCTAATGAGTACTGTGAAAGGTTTGAACCCAGGAGTTATTTCAAAAGTAGGTTGAGTTTGATCGTCCGGGTGAACGTAGTCCTGAACAGGACTGTTGTTGTTGACAGTGACTGACGTTTCGACAACCTGTGCGGTAGTCATCTTCAGAGTCAAAGACTTTGAAGATTAGTCAAAGACTCTGAAGATGACTACCGCACAGGTTGTCGAAACGTCAGTCACTGTAAACAACAACAGTCCTATTCAGGACTACGTTCACCCGGACGATCAAACTCAACTTACCTAATGAGTACTGTTACGATTCGAGTTACCAACGTGATAAAAAGACCTTTACCTTTAGCGTTTAGATTAACTTACATATATTCCGTAGACTGTAGTTTCTAGTTTGTAGTTAAGCTCAGCTATATCGGCATCGTATGAGTATTCAGCTAACGAGTCTTTTAGAAGTTCTACAAACAAATGCGTCATATCACAGTGAAGAGGGTCTACGTACGCCAACGGGCTGTAAAATAAAATAGAAAGGAAAGAAAACGGCTATAAACAAAGTCCAGCCATGAGTATATTTATTATATCACTGGCTTTGCGAGTGGGCAGGATGAAGCGAATCTGTGTTAATTCATTGGTAGCTTTACTCACTTTGTACTTCAAGAAAACAGTTTTTTGGTATAAAACAGATCCTTTATTGACGAAGCTTGTTCGGTCAAGATCGCTGGATACTGTTTTGTTTCAATTACTTTTTTTTACTTTCGTCTTTAAAGAACCCGGCCACGTTTCGGTGCATAAACACGCAAATCCGTACTTGGGCATTATCCAGCGATCTTGACCGAACAAGCTTGGTCAATAACTAAATGAACGGGCACTACGTCACAAATAAGCAAGCTATTTCGTGTTTGTTGTTGTTTAGTTTCGGGCGGTCGCGGTGTCAAAACTTTCCTAACATTACAAACGGTCGCGGTGTCAAAACTTTCCTAACATTAGAAATGAAATGTATAAGGGTTATAGCAAAAATAACCGAAGATTAATAGACTGTAAAGCCAAATGAATTCAGCATTGTACAAAACCTTTTATTTTTGAACTGCAAAAGTCTGGTTTTGACTTTACAGTAGCCTTCATTTGTTCACTGGCCCTTGCTGAGCTAAGTCGCGTGGTCGGCAAGCTCATCCTAGAGCTTTGCATACAAACCAGCAATTAGGCATGTTATTATACTCACTTCTATGCTTGCCACGACCGGTAGAAATCACTTTCTTTGTACATTTTAGCGACAGTTTTCGTTGAAAGTCTTTGTTGTTGTTGTTGTTGTTGTTGTGGAATCTAAGATCGAGAAACACGGCGCTGACTACTTTCGATCAAGACTCGAGTGACTTTTGAGATGGCGACTTGAAATAAAGCCACTACAAACGAAGAAAGTGAATCCGGAAACGCTTTGCTTGTGGAATCCGGAACTTAATCCACTGACAAACAATCCGGAATCCAGTACCTGGGAGCCGGAATCCATGGCGTGGAATCCAGAATCCAAGACTGCCTTGTATTCCCTTATATGGGGCGAGGTATTATGCGACCCTGGACTAAGCGTGATAAGTTCGAAAACCTGTTGAGAAAATCTCTTTAATTGTGACAGTTACCTTGTGATTTCAAAAAGAAGACAAGCCTTGGGCTGGTTAAACGTGTCGTCTTGTTTAAACCACACTTTCATCAGAGAATTATCCTGTGTAACGAAAAAAAAGGAAAATGACGTATATAGAGTGCTTCATGAAAAGCAAAATACATAGATTTGGTCAGGGAAAAAAGCGAAGTTCTCAATAATATTTACAGTTCGCTCAAACAATCTATTAAACAATTATTGGATAAGGTTTTTGTGATATCCGGAATAATCAGGGTCGAGTAGGTGAGTGTTATCAGCCGAGCCGAAGGCCGAGGCTGATAACACTTACTGAGACCTTGATTATTTAGGATATCACAAAAACCGAATCTAATAATTGTTTTATTATACATAGTTTTAAAGAAAATAACGACAAACACACCGTCGCAAGGAACTTGAATTGATATTTTTATTGGAAATCATATATTGCGAGCGCAACCTACAGATTAGTCAGTATTTGCTAGCAGATAACTAACTAATCTGTAGGTTGTGCTAATTTCCAAAATTAGCTGTAGGCTCTTAGCCAATGAGAAGACAGATGGTGAGGAAATTTATAATAAAATCGGGTAATGCAAACAACAATATTATTATTATTATTATTATTATTATTATTATTATCGGCATTAGCGACTCCTGAGGGGCTTAACTGCAGAATACCCGGCCAATTCGAAGTTATTACCGTTCGCGTAGCCACGTAGCCGCGTACTCCAGGGGTTTGGGTTTGGGTTACGGTTAGGGTTAGGACTAGTTTTAGGGTCAGGGTTAGGGTTGGGGTTAGGATTAAGGTTATGGTTAGGGTTAGTGTTGCGGTAAGTGTCAGTGTTTGGGTTAGCCGTTTACCCACGTAGCCACATAGCCACGTAGCCGCGTAGCCCCGTAGCCACGTAGCCACGTAGTCCCGTAGCCGCGTAGCCACGTAGCCGCGTAGCTACGTATCCACTGTTATAGGGGTATAGCTTCAAAATGGCCGGGTATTCTGCAGTTTCATTAACGTCTATTGAAAGCACAAAAATTAAGACACAGCTTCTGAATAAATATTAAAATATTAAAACAGAGCTTCTGGATGGCTTGCTGGAGTCATCCTTAAACATCAAGTCACCGCCACGTGACCTTAGATGTCTAAGACTTTGAGAAGGATTCTGGCTGTACCCAGTAAGCACGCTCTCCGTAATGATTCCAAACGACATGTGATACCAATCTCTGCTAACCACTTTTCTTTTTCTTTCGAGACAGTTGCTAATGCACCACAGTTACTCTGCGCAATTTACTATTATTATTAGATCCGTAAAACTGGTAATAAATAAGGGCGAGATAATAAACTATAACGAAATTTACATACAGCACGTAACAAAGGAGCATAATTGAAAAAATACCGGAGAGCGAAAAGGAAAAGAATACACGATAACAGGTAAGTGAGAAAACGAAAAACAAAAGGAAAAAATTTGCCCCAACATTATTACTTAGTAATTTCGCAGGGTATATTTTTCACGAATCGTTGGAGAATCCGCAATATTCGCGAAAATCATTCATAAGCGCATGGTTTTTGATAGCAAATTAATAAAACAAAAAGGTCATACCTTTACAAGGGTGGGGATCGATGAAGACTGCAAAGAAAAAAAACGTTGACTTACAGAACTTCAAAACCAAATTAAAAATAGACACAAGTTTTCTATTCCATGTACTCTACTCATAACTTCCATTCAAATGCTTTTAAGGGGAACTCCAAAACGCTTTCTTTGGACGCAGTGAGGGATTTCATTCGCGTATACAATTCGGCAAGCATCTGCGCATTATTTTGTTTGCTATCTAAGTTTCAATCAATTTTCTGAAAATCTTAGGCAAATTCCAAGCGCGAGCGGCGCATGAGTTGCAGCGTTGTCGCTGGGTTGCGCTTTCCCTCGCCTAGCATGCTACTTGAAATGAAGAGCTCACAAGCTATGGATGGTGCAACCAGCAATTGTTGTAAACAGAAAGATTAAAAATTGACTAAGTGATCCTGCCCCCAGAACAGAGTAGCTGGATAAGACCACAGGCGGCCCTTGTGCTGACTAGGAGTATCGCTGAGGATTAAACTCTGCGCATGCGCATGCGCGCGCAGAAGAATTTAACAAGGGCAATTGTTTCATGACATCACTAAATTAAATCCCCCACTTTTGGCGAAAGACATCATAATTATTTAGCGAGAGATTTAGAGACATTGAGTTTTCAGTCAAGCATTTACAGTGCTTACCCAGAATTTGTATTTTCGTATTGGTAATTTAGATCTTAGGGTTTTTACTCAAGAAAAACCTCTTCGTTGTTTTTGTAAGCCAAAGATTGTAAATCTACAAAATTGCTTTTGTGCATTTAACAGATTCCGTCGACTAAGGATGGCACAGCCAATGTTTATGTACAGCTACGAACAGCTGGTTCCAGCTTTGAACCAACAAAACAGACCGCAGTGATGAACGGAGCGACAGTGGCTGCAGAAGGACAATCAGATTCAAAGAGAAGCGGCGGAAGAGTGTAAAAGAAAAATCAGCGATCTGGAAAGATCAACAAATTCAATTTGCTAATCATTCTTGATCCTGATTTTTTTTTGTTTGAAAGAGAAGAATATAAAGGAAGACTTAAAGCAAAAGAAGTCAAAGAACTCAACAGCTCTTTAAAAAAAACACCTTACATAAAAATAAACCCGGAGTTAGTGAGAGGGGGGGGAACTCCAGCCATACCTAACCTCACATGCAGCTAAGCCGCGTGAAAGGCTTTCCGCTCCTTTTGATTTAATCTACTGCCGCCTACTTGAACCTGTTCTCTTTCTACTTCATTTTCTGGGGAACTCTGTTTAATGCATTTTATTTTTTTTCCTTTTTAATTTAGTTCCGCTGGAATAAAAGTCAGCGAATGAATCAATTCTGCAAAACCTAAATTAATTTGGGTCGGCCAAAGTCGAATTCGATACGGCTCAAGTTAAGTACAGTGTCTGAACCGGGCCTTACTATATCAAACGAAATGCGATCTACTTAGTAATTAAAGACAAATAAGCATGGTCTTTTCAACTTACATCTTGAGGTCTTTCTTTTATAGTGAAGTCTGTTGGAATGAATTCGTTTACTGGGGGGAGTTGTAGAGACGGATTCAGCGACACATTATTCCATTCCTGAGGAAGTGAAAATTGAAATCACACACCTTTGATATTAGTTTGTCAGTACAACTAAACACCCGCTATCTACAACCCTCACCATCATCATCATTATAACATCTTCATCATCAGGACCTTCAGCTTTTCCCAGATGCTGCGATCTTAAGCAGCATCACTTCAACAGGGAGCTTTAGCAAAGACGACGGCGACGGCAAGGACAAGGCTAATTTTAAAATTTTGTCGTGCGATTGTTCAAGGTAACGTTAAATGTTTAATGTGGGCGACTTTATTTTGGGACCGCACACAAGTTTAGCAAAGATGGCGGGTATCGTGAATAAGGTCTATTGCAGTTATTGTTAAAAAAAATGAGCAAATCACATCTACGCACCTACGTAGCCGGCGCGAAGCGCTAGTAAAAGGTTTTAAGCTTCTAATCATTCAGCCAATCGGCGAGCACGGCAATGCAGTGCAAGACAACTAAAAGTTTCATCTTGAATTCGACTTAAAGCTTTTAAAAGGAGTTCGATGAACAACTTAATTTATAACATACTAAATATACCTCAATATATTTGGGACGGATTTTGTTGACTGAGTATTCCGTGCCGTACCACTCTTCCACGAGATCTGTCTTACCTTCAAACACCTTGCCAACTACGGTTATTCTAAAAAAGGGAGAGACCAAAAAGAGAAGAAAAGAGATTATGTTACAACATATAAATTTGTGAAATTATAGGGCTGATTAACATATCCAGAAAGACCAAGACGACAGTCCCAAATGAAAAATGACTACAATGGTATCACATCATATGTGACAAATCTCACCTAACTTTTGATGGTAGAAGGTATGAAAGAAGCATTTTAATAAGGTCAGGTCTGAAACCTCTAAATAAGTATGGCGCCTGAATAACATCTTCTAGGGGAAATTCCTGCGAAATCGTAAAACAATGTACAATATTATTACTACATCATCACGAGAAACAAATAAGAAACAATAAATAGTTACATTACAAAACACCTTATTAAACAACAAAAAAAATCAAGTACAAACTGAGGCCAAACTCGACAAAACCTGCGAGGTGAACTAGAATAGGGGCGTAAATCAACCTCGTCACCAGGGTCGCCAGGGTCCTCTCGTTTTCAAATATGGCTATGACAGATTGAGAAACGAGAAAACCCTGGCGACAAGGTCGGGCGTGAACTCGAAAAAACGGGGACAAACTTAGACGGTGCAATTAAGCAACTCTTTATTCCGCCCAACACTGGTTCGTTTCGTGGCACATTGATTAATCATAATATTCCTGACACGAGTAGCTGACTACTCTTTTTCAATGAGTTCTTGTGCATTTAATAAATTTCTCACTTAAAATCCATCACCAAATCTCTTTTTCAAGCTGAATTAGTTGCGTGCTTTTTTCAACTGCTTTAGGAAAACCCTAATGCAAGTTTAATATACAAATTTAGCCAAGGCTAAAGGCGAAGCACGGGTTAACAAATAGACATTCAATTTGATTAAGCCTGAGATCAATCGAAAACTAGTAACTTGTCCGCGGAGAACTTTAAAAAACAGCACGTTATTTCAATGGGTCTACACCTGAGCCCGTAATACGGTCATGTGATACCAGTCAGCAGATACCCTGTTTTGACAGCTGTCGTTTGACCAAACACGCGTGTGCAAGATCAGGTTGCAGGCTACCACACTAGCTAGATACTGACGGGCGGTTGGGTGGACATACGGTCACGTGATTACTAAAATTTCTCGGATGGATAGATTACCACATTTTCTTAGCTATGGGGCTACGCGCGCGCGCTTGGAGCTCCGCTATAATTGGTGGTGAACACAGCTCTGGTCTATGTTGTTTTGCCAAATACATTACTCACATGTAAAGCGCGGGCTATTGTAAAGACATAGCTTCTGGCACTTTCTTTGTCTTTGAACTGGAATTTGACTTCACCAAGAGCCTACAAAACAAACATCACAAACTTTATCAACAGTAAAATAAAGCTTGTACATCGGTCAGACAGGTCCAATCATTCAGTTTCCTTCACTCAGTATCCCTGAGTGCTGAAAATTCCGTGCTAAATTGACTGATACACGCAGTGTAGCCTCCCACGCAGACTTTCTTAAGGGTTCGTCACGCGTTGGGGAAGACTGCGTGACGAACCAGAAGGAAAAAACGTCTGTGTAGGAGGTTATGTGTTGTGTTGCTAGACTGTAATTTGAAGAGTTTGCCAATATTTCATCCACTCCATTGGCTGATAAAAAATTATCAAATTTGTACCTGGTACTCTTTAAAGATCCACTCAAGAGGTTCTTGTCTTCTCAACATTTCCAGATATTGAAAAACACAGGTTACTATGTCATAGACGTGGTCTGAAATGAAATCAGGGAAAGAGGATTTAGGAAAAAGGGAACGATTTCATGAAAAAAAAAATACATGAAGTATAGCAAATATGAGAGCACACTGAATCTCATTCCACAGCACCATTTAGACAAAGAGACTTAGATGTACATGTACGATGCTAGCATTCGTTTTTAGTGCAATACCAACAATCGGCGACAAAATTCTTGAGACATTGTTTTTCAATAGGGTAATTTCTGAGAACAAAAGAATCCGCACCCCTCCCCTGTCCCCTCCATTCAAAGTTGGGGTGTTTGTTGTTTTCTATAGGCAGCTAGAACAAGGGCACAACATTGCAACATTGCGGAGGGGATGAGGGAGGAAAGCTATATTTCCTCCTTTTGAAGTTAATAAAACGTAAAAAAAAGCCCAGTTTTGGGCGAAGTGTCTCAACTCATTTTGTCGCCGATTGAGGGTACAATAAGGGACAATACTGCTGTTTGGGATCAGGCATGCGCAGGAGGCAAAATATCGAGCAAAAGTATGGAGAAGAAAAATGACATTGCAACAACATATGCCAAGCCATAGTTATTAAAGTGGAATGGCTATGAAACCCGTTGGACTCCTCGGTTATACGTTTTTGTTAGCTTTTTTGGACCTGACTGCACACAACGTTCAACAGCATTCCTATCATTTTGAACTACTGACCAATAGAAACATCGTATTAATTTATTCAGTCTCAATTTTTGAACAAAAAAAAACAAAGGATTGTGCACGGTCAGGGAGCTTCCGAAATAAACTACAGCACCGTTGTTTTCAACTTTGATATTTGCCGGCTTTCATAAACCAGTCTCCGTTACTAACTATAGCCAAGCTTATTGATAAAATCTCTTGTAAGGGACCGCCCTAACTAAATTTATCTCAAGTCGCTTATGTGAGACCACCCTTGTCTAGTTACGACCACTTTTATGAATTCCAAAGTGATCGCTTACGAGAGCTTTGACAGTAAATACTCTTTGGTGTCTGAATATTGGCAGAAAAACTCTTTCTAAAGGTTTGATTTTATACAAAACACAGACTTGGTTGACTGTTATGTTTGTCACTCATACCTTGACCTTCATTGGTGAGCTCCATGTTGCAAATGAAGAACATAAAGCCTTTCGCTCCAGCACTAGCTCCCGCCATAAGCTCATTTACCCAACCTGTTGAAACAAACAATGAGTTGAAATTCGTTGATTTCGAAGAAATGAGAATACGTTAGCACGTGTACAATATAGCTAGTGGAAAAGAGACGAGCCTGATAATCAAAGATGGTGGTTATAGCATTACAATCATAAAGGAGCAACTTTTGCGCCCAAAAAGTAGGCCTGCATTGCAGGTTGTTGAGACTCAAATCAGTGGTGCAAACAGGTCCATTTGTCTCACATGTCTAAAGATGGGTTAGGCTTCAATTTTGATCGAATTATAATCATTATTAATCCAATTATAAATCACATTTCTAATATGTTTACAATCACCACTTACAGTTCCTACATAACAGTTTGATTAAAATTTAATTTTATTTAACCATTCCAAACTTATCACTGGGTTTAAGGAGCCTAAATCACTGGAGACACGGTCCACAGCGGTACATAAACACGCAAAACTGAATGAAGAATGATAATCTAAACGGTGGTTAATTGGTTTTAAATGAAAAGGACTTAACATTACACAACTAGTTTACCAGTAATTACTGTTGCAGCTAATGCACTAACCTCTTGCTTTTAGTTCTGAAAGTAAGCTTCCTTCACCCTCATGACCAAGAAGATGAGACAAGTAAACAGAAGGCTGAAAATTAAAGTCAGACAAGATTATTTATCACGTTTCCAAATCAGTACTTTTCTAGCGTTACATTATCAGCGAAAGTGACGGTGAATGCAGTGAATTCCCAATTTATTGACTTCCTGGAAAAATGCATGGACACCGCAAAATTCCGCTTATATAAGCCCTCATAGCATTTGCTTATACAACTTCGTATTACGGAGGTTTTATGAGGCTGTATAAACGGGGAGGCATATACCCGTGGGGCTTACAACTGGACTAAAAAAAGTTTCAAAACAAGCTACATAGCATTGGTGATCAAGATACTATATGAATTCACTCGCTAACTTAAGCTTCAAAACGTCGTTAAAAAAACTCTAGCCTTCGACGAACTCGCGCGGAAACGCTTGCTACGCAGACTATAAAAAGTCGAATTCATTTGAATACAAGCTAGAGAGGGGCTTATATCCGGGGGGGGCACTTATAATTAAACGTATTTTTTAGTTTACATGTAAAGAGGCCTATTACTCAGGGGGGCTATAAGCGGACGTTTACGATATTGGTTTGAAGTGTCAGGAACTTAACATTAGTTTTGCCTAATTACCCCATTTCAAGCTATTTAGGCTGTATTTTGGTTAAAACAGGTGTATTCAGCCAAAATTAAGCTTAGACTACCCATATCTTGTTTAAGAGTCGAAAAATACGCTAGCCTAGCTTTTGTCACCCATGCAAATACTGGTGTTTTAGCTCAGGTATGCGAAAAAGACAATTTCTCTCCCCCCACTCCCCTTTTTTTGCTTGTCTTCCTTTGTCTTGCCTTTTGCTAGGCGTTGAAAGTGACAACGATCCTGAAAATAATCTATTGTGAAAATTAATGGTATGAGGAAAACTGGAAATTCCAGTAAAACTACGTAATTTTCATGAGCATTTTTAGCTTGTTTGGCTGAATCGTGAACTCTTTCCTTCAAGTGTCAAAGCTTCCTTGAACATTAAAGGTGATGATGTCACAAGTGTTACAGGCAGGTCACAGGAGGTTGAGGTGTGAGTTGGTTATACAAAGAAACACCAGAAGCCTTACCTTACTGAAATAGTACTCACTGACATCTGGGATGGGAAAAGAAATATTCAGGTATTTTATATCTTTGACTGGAACAACTTTGAATTCTACCTTCAGAAAAACACAGGCAACACATAAATTAACTGCAACAACAAAGTGGAGTTACATTTTCAATTTTTTAAAGCCATGAAAGACGGAAACAACAAGTTGTATATACAGTACTAAGTTAGTGTTAGTAAATATTATTGTCAGGGAGATTTTTGGGAAAGAGAAAATGGGTTTATGAGATTGGTGAGAAGAGATTATAATAATATTTTCAAAAAGGAGAGAGTGAATTCAAGTGGATTCAAGTTTTAACTTGCTGATTGCAAATTTTTACCTTTTTGCCGAGATGGTCATACAGTAAAAATACTTGCAGTTAACTAATAGGCATGTGCTACAAGATGATTGGGGTTACTTTTCTTACCTGGAGTTGTTCATCACCATATGGATGGACAGGAAACTCAGGAATTGAAATATTCTTATTTTCAACACCAGAAAAGAGCTTTATAACCAAGTTTGTCAGATCATCAAGTGAGTCTAGAGAGTAGAATAGAATGTAAAAAATCTTAGGAGAGTTTGGACCTTCCAACACAATCTATCTGTCTGCTTCAGGCAGATAGAAAGTCTGATATGTCCCAATGACAGAACTTCCATACTGATGATGAAAAATCTGTCTGGAATCTGGTCAGGAGCTCTGATTGGTCAACATAGTAGTTACATTGTTTTAGCTATTGTTTATGAATAAGACAAATGACAGGCAAAAGACAAAAGGCTACAAAGGTCAAATGTAAACAGGGTCATAAACGCAATTAATCCGCTACAAAACAGTCAACTCCTGGAATATATTCTTCTTTAGAAAAAGCATTTTAGTTTCGCTCAAGCTTGTTCGCAGTAGAACACAAAGCTTTACCATAATCGACGAGGAGAAGCATAAAATCACACAAATTTACATTTGGAACCCCATGACTACAGGATTTATTATGTAAACATTGATTTACGTCATCAGTATGGAATTTCTGTCGCTGAGGCGCAGACATCCCTCCTGGCAAAACATCCTTAGAGGCAAGGAGCTAAGAGATAAAATGGCTGTATTCACAGGCTAGCCTAGGCCTTACATAACCATATTAGTGGCTTCGATTTTTTTCTACTTCCCACGCAAATCTCATGTTATTTTGCCTGCTTACCTCTACCAAGGACAGTCAAAGCCATGATGTTGGCAGAGTAGAATGAATTATGAAATTTAAGTAATTCATCACGAGTGCTCAGTCCTCTCTCCTTTGGCCTTGTTTCCAGTGTAAGTTTGTTCCCTACAATCACCAAAATCAGAAAAAGAAGAGAAAATTCAAGTAAAGCTTTGTCTTAAAGGTGTAAACTTGTATAGCAGTACCATAGAAAGGAAGGCCACATCCCGCATGGTTAGCACATCAATAAATAATAATGTTGACATTTTAATCAGACCTACCTGATCCAAACTTTCGATAAGGATGAGATGGGTCCACTGATGATTTGTCAAGTTGATTTAATCTCCATGTGTCAATCAGCAGGTTCTTACAGTGCTCTGTGAATAAAGACATTTCTTATATCATGTTCAGTCCAGCCCCATTTGTTAATACAGATACTGAGAGGACCATAGAAAGTATCTGTATTATGGGGTGTCAGTATCAAAGGAGCTGTGTCACGAAACTCAGCCAAATTAGGTAATTACAAAATGCCTGTTAAATCCAAGAAAAAAATAAAAATAACCGCTTAAAACATTAAAGGAAGGTTAAAATAACACATCAGATGCAACAGATGCCACAGATGGGCAAAACTGAAGAAGATTGAAACGGATTGAAATTAGGGTTTTGAAAACTGTTCAGCCTAAAAGTTCTTCAAAGTTTATCTCTGCTGTCTGCAACTTCAAAAATAATGCTCAGGAGACATATTTGTTTGTCTTGAGTCTCTGACTTTGTCATTTACATGTAATTTCTTTGCTTACCTTAAGTTCCATAGCGATTGAGGGCGAGTAATTGGCAAAATTAAACAAAATGAACTGGACTGCCGTGACACAGCCCCTTTAAGCGGGTTGAATTTTTAGAAAATGTAAGAATTTTCTTTTCCCAAGACAAAGAAAACTGTCCATAATAATGAGGTGTCCGTATCAAGATGGTGTCCATAATGCAGGGTTTTACAGAACAGTCAAATCCTGTTAATACAGAAACAGTACTAAGGGGGCCATAGAAAGTGTCTGTATTAAGCGGGTCGAGGTTAGAGAATATGTAAGAATTTTCTTTCCCCAGGGACAAAGAAAACTGTCCATAATTATGAGGTGTTCGTATTAAGAGGGTGTTCGTAAAGCAGGGTTTAACTGTACATGTTTGGATATGTGAAAGCAGGTCCAGGAATTACAGAAATAGAAAACTGCATCACACAGTATTTCTTGCATTTTTTTTCTTGGAAATTAAAAAAAAACAATCTTAATCGTAACAATGTAAAATTTAATGGTGCCTCTGACAAATCATTACTAACGGTTTGCATTGACAGTATGCTATAAATGTAAATGAGTAATCTTTTTTTTCAAGCCCCCTCACCAGAAACTGATCAACTGTGTAAGTTGATCCTGAAAAATCATTTGTCTTCAATAAAAACAAAAGGCCTGTGCAGACTTGATGGTAGCTGTATGTAAACAGTTTTCAAGGACTCAATGACTAATGGACATAATTTCAATTTAATAATAAATTGCGGAGTGCCATTAATTTTGCCAGCATGGGAAATTTTTCTCTGAGGTAAAAAAGATATTTATAATTTCCTATTTCTTATTCTCTAACAGGTCTAAATTTGCATAATTCAGTAAAGTATTATCTCAATACCTGAATCAACAGCATTGACTTCTCTATCTGTGGCATCTGAATTAAACAATGGACAAAGAAAAAACTGTGCAAATCTAAAAAAAAATAGGAAGACATTCAATTTGCATGAACTACTGTTCATGAGAAACTTCTCTTATGCTACAGTGATTGTAAAGAGATGGCTGTTGTGCTGAGGTTATTGCCATTAACAAACAATGGACTGTAACAAAATTCATAAGTATTACATAGAGGCAAGGAAATGCATGCCAATTATCATTTCTGATGGATCCCTTGATTTCACCTAACACTTTGCTTGTTTACTATGTGGGAGACATATTTACCCTAAGACAGATCATAGCTTATTGTGACCCCAGATCTCCAGGGGGTTCATTAAGGTTTTGAACAGGAGGGCAACTGAGTTTGACACCCGGGCAAAGAATTGGCAAGGCCCGGAGGGCCTTCCTCCCCCCAGGGGGGGTCGGGGGCATGCTCCCCCGGAAAATTTTGAAATTGTATAGTTGCAGGGATGTGTTTTCCTGCATTTTGAAGCTGCAGACAGTAACTTTCAACAACCAAAAAAAGATAACTTTTCTAGACAATTTAGTAATGATTTGATACCAAGAGTTTTCGCTAGAAGGTGAATCACAAAAGTATTAGTTTAACATCTTGTCTTGAAAATTTCAATGACTAGACGGGAGTCCTGAGCACTTTTTTAACGTGAACGCACCGAAAATTAATTCATTGGCGTAAACCATAAGACGAATAAAAAATCACGCTTCGCTTCATTGAACGTGATGATTAAGTCATTCAATATATACAGGCAAGTCAAAGGTTAGATCACAAAGAAGTCTACTCTCCTCTTGGCCTTTTCTCTACTGGAGGCCCTTTGGTTGAAGCCGAAAAATAATCCACTATCGAACGCGTTAATTTTCTGGGCCGCCATGCTCACGTGCTTGCAATCCTGATACATTTCACATGGTCGTTTATGAAGTACAGTTCTTTTCGCAATGTGTTTATGGGGCGATTCTTGTATTTAACACATAACGAACGAGGGGATTTCATGCCACGCGTAATAAAGTGGAAACGGCACGGCAAAGTATGTTTTACACTCGATAAGACTCATCAAGAATAGGGCACGATTGTAACTTAAAACTGTTTATAATCGTTCCTTGTATTAAAAAGAAGTTCTTTGAGATGTAAAGCAGCCGGGCAAAGTCGTGTTCACAGCCGGTCAATTTGCCCGTTGCCCGGCCGTTAATGAACCCCCTGGATCTCTGGCACTTTCAACGTAAAAAATGGTAAGCACTCAGGGAATCCATCCTTATCTTTCTTGTGGAGTAAAAAATTTGCAACAATTCAACTTACCGATCTAGCCCCTCATTTAAACACTCATGTTTGACATCAAAGTAAAAGTTTGTATGTTCACTGATAGTGAAGGCATTGGAAGAACCACCATTCTCACTTAAAAACTGCAAAGTAAAAAAGAGCTACAATGTAAAAGTTGAAGGCAAGGCATCATTATAAAAATAATAATTTATTGGTAGCTCGTTCCACTCACTCAATCAGTGCTATGTTTTACGAGTATTTAAAGCTACTTAAAGCTACACAAAAAAGAAAAACAGTTGAAACAAGGAATTGTGGTCACACCTGGGAATCCAAGTCCAGCAATTTTGTTTATATATATACCGTATTTATTCGAATAAGCGCCCAACCTATTATCTCGAAATCTTAAAGGCAGAAAAAAAGTTAATGTCGAATAAGCGCCCACCCCTCCTCCTCCCAATCAAACTCAAATAAGCCTTGAGTGAATAAATTCTAATAAGAGACTTCCCGAGGACGGAGATTTCTTCAGAGTATTTTACAGAAACATTGCTTTGTTACTTCTTCGAGTTTTGTTATTAGCATTTATTGTTTTGTTGCAAAATAAACATACTTCAAGTGCTGAAAACGGTGAAAATTTAATAAGCGCCCAGCCTCGTATAAGCGCCCACCTCGAATAAGCGCCCAGTCTCAAGGTCCAAAAATTTAATAAGCGCCCAGGGCGGTTAATCGAATAAATACGGTATATATAAATTTAGTGTGGCGATAGCCTGTAAGCAAGCTCTCTGGGCGTCTCAGTCTCAAAATGAATGTGTCATGTACACTGTAACAAGTCAGGTTCTATGAACATAGCTGTATTCTTTCGTATTTACTCTGGACCACTAAGCTTTAATAAACCAGTCTTGCAAGATTTCTTTTTTTTCTGTGACCATCACTAACCGGAAAGAATGGCAAAGTTTGAGGGGCTTGGAGCACTGACAGAAACTTTGTTACTCCTCAGAACAGTCAATTCAAATTGAACAACTTTGGTATACTTGTCTCAGTGATCATTGTGATCATCACAAAATTATATTAATATTGTTGATAATTTCTATTTGATTGATGATAACAATCATTATTGTCACCTAACCTTTTTTCATATAACAGCCACTGCAGCAATAATTGTAGCAATCAAATTGAAGCCAGGAGAAAGAAAAGCCCTGCAATAGCTTGTTTGGGCTTATACAGCTGTAACTAGCACTTTTAGTTTTTTGTTTGGTAAATCAAAGATCTTACCTGAGTGAAAGAATTCTCTGAAGGATACTGCAAAGTAGAAAAGAAAAAGTCATGTAATTCACTGCATGTAGGTATATTGCTTTTGGAAGCTCTTACCAAAGTTACGCTGGCATGCAATCATGTTATTGAAAATAATGTCCTAGTAGACTAAGTAACTTCAATAGACAAAACAAAAAAATACAATAATTATTATAAATTTAACTATAAATTATAACACATTATAAATTCCATCAATATCTGAAAATTACATGGTGAACTATGCTCACCTTTTCAGTTCCTAGAAACAGCATGTGTTCACAAAAATGGGCAAGACCTGGAAGATCATCTGGGTCACTCATGCTGCCTGGTGGTGTTACAAATAAACTAAATTACGAATCCCTGGAGCATGAAAAGCATATGAATTTTGCAAAAGAGAGCTCTCATAAACCTTTTGCTTAGACTTTGTTTTGATATTTTTCTAGGAGAAAATTGATGTTGGTCACTTTTGGGACTTAAAGCCAAGTAATACTGTTACATATATCATTTAGCATAACAGTACATATTTCTAAATACCTGTACATTACATGTACATTTTTTTGTTCTTCTGCTTCTGCTTGTGACTTAGACAACCTGGTATCAGATCATAACTGACAGACTGGTCAGCAGAATCAGAATGCCAATTTTACTGGATTATAAAGCTCTGCACTTCTGTTTACAACTCTTTTGTGACTCCATCACTAGTGGGACATCAACAAATACTACCATATTACTTCTCTAATATCTGGGTGGTTAGTACAATGAGAATCTTTTTTTATTATTCTCATGCAAATGATGCTGATTTTTCAAGGAGAGGTTAATTCAGACTTGGCCTCAAAAAACAGAACTCAGAAAAAGCCTAATGCATTTTTTTTTAATTATTTGAATACTAGCATGAAATTTTTGATGTTCCAAAGCAGTGTAAAAATTATTACATTTTTTTGTAAGTACTTAAAAAAATAGAAGTCATAGCAACCAATCTGAAGCTTCATAATAGAAACCGCTATTAATCTACCTGAAGACCTTACAAATTTAACATTTTTTTGAATATTTTTGAGAATGTTTTACTTTTTCCTTTAATACATATAAATCCACCTTCAAAACGTTTACTCAATAATTCAGTTCATATACCTTTTAAGTTAAAAAATAATTTAAATTATGCATAATCCTATATGATAATCCTAGAATGATGAGTCATCTTAACTTTCACATGAAAGTATAGGTAAACTTGTGCATTGAGTGATGAAGTTTTTCCCGCAACACGTGTGCTTGCCTCTGAGTAAAGAAATAGTTTTAAATTTTAACAGTAAGATCATTATCTTACCAATGTGTACATCCATCGCTGCCGCTGCCTTGTCAGTAAGGGGATCGCTTATAACCAGCACTTTCATGTGGTTGTTCAGCTCTAAACCGCGGTACAACCGGTCATCACGAGGGGACTTTGGGATGTCGTTGTAAACTTTCTTTACTCCCTCCATCCTTTACCCTGAAGAGACGATTCCACCTGAAATAACGAGTCAACGATCAAACCAAAGAATGACGATTTAGCGACGCAATTTCAAGCTGTTAACTGTTAACGACGAAAACTTGAGATGTCAACGAGCAGACTAAGAAAACTTCGAAGACTGTGACAGAGTTTATACGGATAGAAGACCAATGTGTTACCAAGATCGTTAAAACCTGGACTAACCAATCGAGGCCGTCGATTTACAAAGATCATGCGACCCTCCAAAAGCTAAACTTTGGCCGATTTTGCGTATCTCATGTGAATGTTCTTAAAGCGCCGCCATATTAAAAAGCACTGGAACACCACGGCCGAAAATGACTGGGAAGGACTGTGCACTAACAGCGTTCGCGCCAAATTGGTCAATATGGCAGCTACTTGAATGTTTTCAAATTTCAGTGTAGTTTAACGCCGGTTTTTTACAGAGGAGATAGTTTTACTTGTGTTTTAGTGGTTTATCTATGGCTCAAAACGAAGGAGACGAGTTTTTATTAAGCGGAGAGGCCACGGGTGGTGGAGAAAGTGATGAAGAAATAGAGGTAACTGCTGCTGAAGTACTCGCTCAACTGGAAGAGGTACACGTGATATTTTAAGCTTATACTAGCTATAAAGTGGAGCTTAAATGCAACTGAGTTAGTCAAAGAAGAGGTCATCAACATACTTTTCGAAAGACTGCCGTAACCAGTTGGTTGAATTAAGTGGATATTGATACTTCTATTAATATAAATCTAGACCACCGTCCGACGTTCGCACCGGGGGCCTGGAGGGTCTTCTTGGTCATAGGAAAAGTACACCAGTTTAGTAAAATTACTACAAACCAGCTATAGTCACAAGATTTTTAGTAACCAATCATTAGGCGAGAAGTTTAGAGCGCAGCAATTCTTAGTGCTGGGACAACTAGGATAATGCGCATTTTTAGTCTTTGCAAGCAGGCAAGCACTGCTATCTAGCAAGCTTCCATAGCTTTTCAAGTTGACTTTTCTTTTGCCCTCCCACCGCTCTCACGGGCAGTCTTCTTATCGTATACTTACTATGTTTCGTGTATCTGTTTCTATTTTAGGACTTTGATTATAAGTTAGAATAAGTAGCTTTCAATAAGGTGTACCAGTTTATGCGTTTATGTTTGTAATAAAGACTGTCAGACCCCAAAGTAGCTCAAAGTGTGTACATGTGGTGGTTTAGACCTGAAAGCTACCAACATCTTGGAGCACAAGAGGTGGTTAGTAAATGTAAGAGCCGTTCCATGTACACTTTGCCCAACCTCTACCCCTTACACACACCTCAACCAACCCCTACCCCCCCCCCCCCACACACACAATTTGTCCAGTCCCCCTCCCCCCTGTCAAGGCTTTATTCCATCATTCTCCCAAGGGCAGCTCATTCATCTGAAAAGCAGCTGGTTATCCAGCCTTCACTCCTCTTGTACATGTAGGCTTGATTACCAACTAAGTACTTATGGATAGCCCCTTGTAAGGGAATCCGCATATTTCCAGAATCCTGTAAATTTTTGCTTGTGGAGTCTGGACTCCGGTAAAATTCTGCTTGAAGAATCCAGAATCCTGGTTTTTGAAATCCAGAATACCACGTAAGGAATACGGAATCCTGCCAACGATTGGATACCAGAATCCAAGTTCCACTGACAAAGACTAGTATCCATTACCTGGAACCTGGAATAGATGGCATGGATTCCAGAATCCAAGACTGGCGTGGATTCCTTACATGGGGCTTCCAACAAGCAAAATGGCCTTGAAACAGCAACATAACACTTGATGAAATGGTGACAAATGACATAAAGATGGGTTGAATACTGACAGGGACATGGCCTAATCCTCAATATGCAAAATGACCATATTTGAGATTCAGACTTGACTATGGACATACTCCTCCTCACAAGAGGTCCCATTATGACTTTCACCGAAGGACTAATTTGATAAGCCCTTGAGCGAAAAAAAAGGCACCAAAGTGCCAACATACCCCACCCCATCTACAGAAAAAAAGGTTATTTCATGAAGAGATTATGGTGCTGACATACATTGTTTTATTGCACTTTTGTTTGTCATTCTCCACATGGGGAGTTTGTAGGATGCCCATGCACCCAATTTTCATTTTTGTATGAGGTTTTCCAAGGCACAATGCCCCTATACTATTATGTCTTAATTGCGTTCGAGGTACGAGAACGCAACCCTAATTTGTGTTGGGAGTACTGTGCATTATTGGGTGACCTGTGCAATTAATAAGGGAGGTTTTTTGAGATTTCATTTTCGTTCGTCGTCGTCGTCGACACACATTTGCCTCGCTTTGAGGCGCTTGCTTAAGTTTTGCCTCACTTTGACGCGTTAACTCGTGGTGATTCTTGTGTCCTCGGCGTTCATCTTTCAAAGGTTTGCTAAGGTCTGATATTCTTCGTAAAGCGTTCATCTTTTAAAAAGTTTGCTGAATCTTCGTAAAGCGTACATCGATCTGTGATTGCTGAATCGTCAAAGTGTTCATCTTTCAGGAGTTTGCTGTCAAATTTTACTTTGAATTAAGCCTTCATATTTTTCAGCATGGTTCATCACTGTCTTTGGAAAATGTCTGGGACTACAGGTGCATGCATCAAACGGGGTTTAGTTCGGCGGCCGTTATGCTACAAAGTAAATTAATTTACCGAGTTGTGTAGCTCAGCGGCCGTTTTGTTGCAAAGTAAATTTACGAGTTGTGTAGCTCGGCAGCCGTTGTGCCACAAAGTAAATCTACCGAGATGTGAAGCTCGGCGGCGCCATTTGACCATGACTTGTGATATTTTCGGCACCGGACAAATGAACACTTTAACTCTATGTTATTTATTAGGAAAAACTTATAAATCAGCCCACAGTAGCACCACTCTCGAGTCACTGAAATCAACACGCTCGACCAAATTACCGGAAAAGTTATTGAAGTGAGCCACACACACGTTCCATTGAAGGCTTTGATATTCAGATGTGAAAGCTTTTAAACCAGCAAATTCAATGTAATTCATTTTTTCAACAAGTTGATGAATGGATGCTGTTAAAAATAACAGAGAAAATTATCCAAAGAAATGTTTTTGAAGAAAGAAAAAGAATCCCGGGTTAAGAACTAATCGGCCTTTGAGAAACTGCGCCCTGTAACTCGCGCCAGTAAAACAAAATGTTCCATTTACACGTCCGACGTTGGCCAATATCTCCTCCGATTAAAAGCACTTCACACCGAACCATACGATATCTTTTGAAAACGTTCTTAAAATGATACACAGTAAAACAACAACAAACATATCGAACGCACTCTCCTAAGCTCCGATTACTCCTAGTATACATGGGTGAATCTGCTTTTTTGTGCATATTTTTTGAATGTGGTGAAAGCCTGCATCTAACCTAGAAAACAAAGGAAAACAAAAAAAAACATGTACAAGCACCTACCCCCCAAGAGGAAGGGTGCAGCTACATGTAGGCTGGAGAAATTCTGAATCAAACTGGGTTAATTGTTGTGTTGACTTGAAAAAGAATTTTGCTTACAACAAATGCATCATTATTGATTCTCAAGTCTGATTTTCATTTGTCACATGTCTATCCCTTGGAGTGCTTTTTTTGTTTGAGTGGTTATTAGTGAGGGAAATTAAACAGGGCAGGCAACCTGGCTTAATGGTGGGTTTTAGTACTGTACGGTATATGTGGTGGTTTAGGTTCAAGTATTTGTTTTTATATATGGCCGGTAAAGATAAGATAATGGTGATGATGTTTTTTTTTTGAAAATGCAGGCCTGGGTGAATGAAAAATTTGCTCCTGAACTTTTGGAAAGCAAGGCAGATCTTGTTGAATGCATGTTGGATCAGATTAAAGAAATGGCAAGTTCAAATTATTATTGTGCTCAAAAGGAGTTATTTTGATGTTTGTGAATTATTATTAAACTTTGTGCTCTGCAAAATTCTGGCAGCTGATTGGCTGGTTGAAGTGAGTTAATGGTGTACAACACACGATTTCTGTGGATTTTATGACTTCTTTTCTTTCAGTAAAGTTTTTTTAATTTTGAAATGTAGTTGTGTTAACTTTACATTTTTTTTTTGATGTTTCTATTGGAGGTTAATTATGTGTTAAACATTTTGTCATTGTTGCCATTGTTTTTCTTTTACAATTTGTTGCTTTTTGAATGTAGAGCATTCAAAAGGCCACATATGCACCAAGGTTGGAAAGATTTGGGATACTATGGTGCATTTCATTAACTTCCACGTGTCAGTAGGCAATGAAAGTGCACCAATTTTATACAACTGTTTTGAGAAAGGTTGTTGCAAGAAATGCGCACGCGACAATCCCAAAAGGTAATATGGGATATGATCACAGCCTGCAAAGAAAGTACTGTCCGATAGCCCGGGGCTAGTGGATTTTGCTATCGGGCTAGTGAATTCTGTTTTTAACTTGCCCGACGGGCAAGTGATGTTTCAAGAGGAATTTGAATAACAGAAGAACAAAACGTTTTTGGCGCTAGTTGAAATGACGTCTGGGCTAGTAAATGCTATCTTCAGCTTGCCTGAAGGGCAAGCTGTAAAAATGATTTTCTTTGCACCTTGTGATCACTACACTGTTCGTAACGACTGAAGCTGTTGAACCTACTTTTGTTGCTTTCCTTTAGCACTCGCAAACATATGTCCGTGGCCTTGCGTACCATTCTTTCAAATTTCTCTGAAGAACAGTGCCCTCAAAGCCACCCACAATACCTTTCGGTATTGTCATGTGCACTTTTTCCGACAACCTTTCTCGAAATAGCTGTATACAGTGTAAGCAAACCACAAAAATTAACCCTGTATTTTTTTGCAGGGAGGAAATCTCAAGAAAGTCAAACAGGGAGACGTTGTAGCTTCTTTACATAAACTAGAGGTTGGAAATCAATAACTTTTTTTTTGTCTTTTTCAAATGTTGTTTTAGGGGGACAGGAGATAAGATTTTCATGTTGTTCTGATATTTATTTAATTAAGTGACGTCTGACAATCATGGCTCCATTATCCGGTAGAGTTAATTACTCTACAATATGTTGTCTTTGACATGCAGATTGACAGAATACGATATGTCCTGAGTAGTTACACACGGACAAGAATAGAAAAGGTAGGCTCTTATTTCAAGTCATAAGTTAAGGTCTTTTCATTCATAGTATGACTTTTTGAACGGACTGACTTCTGTTAAGTTAGGCTGCTGTTTATGCTACTTTTTGCTGGAAAGAGTATGATTATTGTACTAATGACTCTATTGATTATTTTCTGTCTTTTTCCTAAGATTGAAAAGTATGTTGTTCATGTTCTTGAACAAGAAGCAGCAAGAGATGAAAGTGAACCCTCAAGATTATCCCCAGAGGAACTGCAGTATGCTAAGGAGTAAGTGACATAACTGAATTTTGTGAGTTTTGTCCTAATAAGTCACTTATAGCACAGGGGGAGTGAAATAAAATCATCTTTCAAAGGGAGTCATTAGGGATTTTAAGATATCCTGGAAGCAACGGCAACGAGAATGTCAAAAAAGCTGTTAGGTTGAATAGGTAAAACAACTTTGCACATGCATCACGCTTTGTTGTTCATTAATTTTCTTTTCTGTCACTGCACAAATACCACATGAAAATGCCTAATTTCACATTTTACCGGGGATGTAAACAAGCGACAAACAAATAATTATTTTCTTTTTTTTTTTTAACTTGGGCATGGTTCTTAGGAATTCCACTGCTAAAGAGTTTGAGAAAGTAGGCTAGTTGGAAAAATTGTCATAGATTAGAGATTGGAGGAATGTAGATAAGAGGCCTTTTTGATGTTGTCACTGCCGTGCTTTCTTAATGTCCCTATAATTGGGGTAGAGTGGAAAACAGGACACATTCAGAGGGTGGTACTCTGGTAAACTATCCACATAAAAAATTTTGGCCTCTCACGTGACTGTATGAAAATGAATTAACTGTGGGTCATGAAGATAGTGTTAATTAGGAGCTTTACTTTTAGCCTTCACTTAACCTGTATCTTTCGCTATATGTATATGGTTGTGCAGAACTGTATAGGGTGTGGTTCATCTGGGGTAGAGTATGAAAGATCAGACAGAGACTTCTTATCTTTAAGGGGGGTGTCATTTTTCTTAACACTTATCAATGGTAAGAAGAATTTAAGTCTTGAATATGTACCGAAAATTGAAATAGGGTAAAGAACTTTCTCCCATAGGGTGCTTAGGCTTACGGTACCATCATCATTTGCTAACCTGGGCTCAGTTGTTTGAAAGGTGGATAATCAGTATCCAGTAGAGAGCTCAGTATTCATTGGATAACACAATAAATTATTGTTTTGCTAATACTTATCCACTGGATAGTGACAACCAGGACCAGTGCGTCAACTGTTGTTAGCTCTTGTCATTTAATAGCACAGCGCACAAATGACATCAGAGTGACTAATTTGCAGTGTTTGTCTGACGTTGACATTTTTGTCAATTTAATGACAAAAGTCAGACAAACATGACATTTCAATGACAAAAGACAAACAAAAGTGAGGAATTCGCTAATGTGAATTCCAATTTGTTTGTCTGATTTTTAGGGCCTGTTTACATGGAGGTGGGGGACCCCAGGTAGGTGAGGTAACCTGCTTAGGTGGGGTAAAAAAATAACCCTCCTTTACATGCAATCTTACAACCCCGTCATCAAGGGGTGCACCCTCAAGATTATTGAATGGTCGCTAAGCACGTAAACAAAAAAAATGCTGGCAAACCACGGGTTTTGGCGATTAATGCACTTCTACACTCACTTGTTACTCTTGCTGCATCCTTCAGTGCAACTTTAAACTTTAATGATGAGAAAGCCACCGGCAAAGTGAATTTTGAGCGAATTTGATGTACCACGATTCCGACCACGGCTAGGCGGGTTACCCCACCTTGAAAGTTTACATGGCAAAATTTGACCCCGGCTGAGAGGGTAACCCAGTCTGGTAGTCCGGGTTACCCGCCTTGGCGGGTCACCCCACCTATCATGTAAACGTGATCAAATTAAAATGAGAGATTATATTGACAGGCGGGTTACCCAACCTAAGCGAGTTACCTCACCTACCTGGGGTCCCCCACCTCCATCGAAACAGGCCCTTAGTTATATATTAAATAGTAGCTTTGCACAGCACCATTAGGTTATGCTTACTTTTGCCTTTTTTACTAATATTTAAGTTAAACTTATTAACAGGTATGCCGATAGCATGGAGGGTCTCTTCAAGTCATTAGCTTTGCAAAATATGCCTGCAAACATGCAGAATATTGATAGAAAGAAATCTGGTAAGGGCCCCTCCCTCAGATAATAGGGAGCTTAAGCTACGACGACCTCAAAGAGAACGGCAATAACGCAATAGGTTTCTGAGATTGGCAAAACAACAACTTTGCACGTGCATCACGCTTTTTTGCACATTTCTTTGCCGTCGTTGCACGACTACAACGTGAAAGTGCCTAATTTCACGATTTGTCCAGGACGGGAACACGAGACAACAACTTTCCTATTCTTTTCCTAAACTTTGATACAGTCCTTTAGAATTCAACTCCAAAAAAATTTGCCAACATTTGACGAATTAAACGAGATGGAATAAGCGCGGTAAAGTTTGAAGCAGCGCAAATTCACTTTTTAAGTGACGTTTTCGTGGCCGTCGCTGTTTAAGCTCCCTAATTTTGCTCTGCTAAGTAAAGAATCCTGCCCCCATAATATGGGTGCCCTAAATTAGACTTGCCACAAGTTGACACCAAGAGAGCGCCAAAGGCGCAAGGAACACTTGCGAAGGAAGCGACAAAGCTGTGAGATGAATGATGTACGGGAGACAGGCTTTGAGAAAGTCTACCCTAAAATATGTACTGCAAAGAAAGTTGAACATCACCATCATGTTGCTTATGGCATCATTATTTAATACATATCATAGATGTTTCATTTTGGATGTAAGATCATTTTTTATGTTCCATACAATTTTGTGCAAGTGCCCTTTTTTACACCCTAAAAGTCAAAAACAACGCCCTCATCAGCTTCCATAGCAACATGTAGCTCTTTTTTTCTCTTTTTTCGTAGCTCTTTTTTTTTTCTCCCCTTTTTCCCTTCCTCCTCATCCCCTATCCCCTACCCCTACCCCTTTCGACTCTTGCTACGCAGGCTATAGTGGCTGTTATGTTTATTTTTCTCTTTTTTCCTTTGTATTTTTATAGTTCCTAGACCAAATATGGACAAATATGTGTTTCTCAAGGTGTTAGAAAATCAAGATCAAGTTATGATAGATCCCGAGTATGTAATTGTTCCTTTATTGCTACACCATGATTTACGCGTTTTTGACTACAAGAGATTTCTATAAGAATTCCACGATAAGTTCTTTCCAAGAATTACATGTATGGTTCCAACCCTCCTGATTTGACCCCACCCATTATCATCTTATGAGTTGCACTCCAGAATAATCAATTCCTTGGAAGGAATGCAAAATGCTGGCAGTAAGGGTTGCTGATAGCCACCACACTCTTTTACTGCTATATCCAGCTTGAAGCAAGATTTTCAAACTTTATGAAAAATGTGACACTGACTAGGGTGTCAAGATGTTAAGTCTGATTGCTTAACAACCATAACTGCTTGACCTCATATGATGAGGTGGCTGTGTTTCCATACAGTGCTACTAATGATGCGATAATGATGATGATGGTGGTGGCGGTGGTAAAGAATGGCAGTTTTTTTAATAGTGAACTTATGCAACGGGACGGGAGAGGAAAGAAGGCTGAAAACCTTGTGTGACAAGCGTAACAATAATAATTTTGTTTGAACAATCTTTCCACCAAACTTCACCTTCCTTTAAACAGTCATATTTGTAAAAGACCAGAAAAAATTAATGTTAAGTGAAGATCATGACAAAACACGCAAGTAATAGCTCTGTATGTCACGTCAGTCACCCAAGCGTGTTGCCGTCCTCTCCATTTTCTTTCTTTTTGCATTCATTCACTAATAGCGGGTGCAGTGATAGCCTGTAAAGCAGTGCGAACGATGATAGTTAGGTTCTCCCGTCACCTTGGACGTTAAAAATGACAGAGAGTTGGAGCGAGTCAAATAATGATTCCAAGGGAGAGGTTGATGACGGCTGTGATAAATGTATCTCTGAGCTTTGCAAGCTAGTGCAGTGATACTTTACTGTTTCTTTTTTAGGGAAGATCCTATTGACCTTGAGAGTGGAGCACAACACATCATGCGTTATAGTGCTATAGCACCTCTTTTAAGCAATGGATCTGTTTCTCTGATATAAAACCTCTAAATCCCACGCCCAACGTCTGAACTTGTAAAATAATACATGTGTATAGATTTAGGCTCGATTTCCGCCATCTCCCCGGTCCGGTCTTTGATCCTCCCCGAAGAGGATGAGTGCGGGCTCATTTTCCCGACCAGCGGCTGGTAATCGAGCCTATATAGATTGTAATAGCCTGCAGTGCAATTTGCTCGCGAAAGCGCCATTTTGAAACTTCCCGAAGAGAACCGTGAGGGTTACTATTTCTACTCTCTCCAATCTTCCACTGTCATAAAATCAAAGATGGCGGCTACAACAATATTACGAACACGAACAAGGTTTCGCCCACCCAAAATACGCCTGCACTGCAGGCTAAGATTGTGATCCCTTAATGATATGACTTGTAGAGTTCTTGGTGACCCTGTTAGTCAACATAATTGGAACGGATCCAAGGTGTTATTATACGTATCATCTTTCGTAAAGGTGTATAGGTTGAAACCATCTCACCCTAAAGGGAATAAAGTCCAAACTTGCGAAGTGATCGATAAAACGTGAGTTTTTAGTCGGAATGAAATGGTCATAACTCGACTTAGAAAACGAAACTCTGGTCCACAAGGGAGCGAGAATGATCAGCATGAAATTTCTCCTTTAAATATCATTGCCCCGTAAAACAGGAGAAGCATCAAAGTGATACTTCAACAACTTGTTCCCACCAGAAAACATACATGGACAACAAATGAGACGTTGAATTTTGATAGGGTTAGGGTAATAACACTCGGACGGACCATCAAAATAATGAAGTCAGGGAGTCGGAGAGTCTCTTTTTGGGTTCACCATTTCTGCATGTTTTCATTGTTTGGTTGTTTGTTTTTCTGAACTGGTATTCGTCCCCATGCCATGCAGACGTTCTCAGGGTTGTGAAGGAAGGCTTGTCGAAACCTAAAGAACGTCTTCGTGGGAGGCTTGTTACAGCTCAACGCATTATTTTTCAAGGTTGCAAGTGTGTTTTAGCGGCAGGAACGCGTGACGAACCCCAAAGTACGTCTGCGTGGGAGGCTAAGTGTGTTTCTATTTTTTACAGCTAACGATCACTTACAGGTACTTCACGCCTACATACAGACTCAGAGTCAGCGCGCGCTAGAAGCTCCCCTTTCCCTTGCCGATTCCTTTCTCCCATCCGAATTTTTAACCCAAGGTGTGTATAAAAAAATGTAGCCTCCAAAACAGAAGTTCTTAGTCTTCTAAGAGTAGCCTCCCCGGCAGACTTTCTTTTGGCTCGTCACCGGCAAGCCTTAAGGCTATCCTCCGTTACCGGTTCCCCCCTAGCTCGGGCCCTCAGGCCATTCAAAATTAGGATAGTCTTACAAGGTCCTCGGAAACTCGTAAATTTTGGGTGGAACTACTTAGCTTGTCAACACCTAACCTATTTGGGTTGTTACGGTGCCTTTTTGTAGTATTTGGGCCGATATAAATGACAAACCTCATAAGTCGCGCATTTTTTCAAGCTCTGTCAGTGTCCAGGGTAGTCTGCTAGTGTCCTGACGCCTAGGAGCGTTGTGTGACGACACTAAAAACATTATGCACTGACACTAAAATATCTGTAGGGTGCACCTCCCGGGATCATATTACGTACGCATCACACAAGCCACTTTTAAAGTCTGAAAATATTGGTTTTATTTGATCAATTTGCAATCGATCTGCCCTCTTGCTTCCAAAGCATTTACTAAACAGCAAACAACGTTCAACAAAAATTAAACCGCCTCCCGTTAACAAAACCGGACCCTTTTACCGAACATATCACTCATCGTTGCTGGTCGAGTCACATAATGTTTTAGTACCAAGGTTCAAGCAGGGTACAAGGTATAACGGATGCACGTGAGGAGAGGGGCTCCACGTGGCGCGAAACGTTATATAACAAGTTCGAACACGGAAACGCAGGTCATGACGAAGACAACAAAGAAAATTAGTAAAGGGGTTTTGAAGCCACCAGCCGACTCAATTTATCGGATAGTCACGTATTTTTGACAAACCAGTATCGTATTATTCAGGAATTTTTAGCAGATAAAGCCATTTCGCTGAGGTTGTTTTCTTGATTCCATATTGTTCCCTTTAAAAATACATGCTAATCGCACGAATCCTAATGATTTCAATTTATAAATCTTCAAACAATATTTTATATTATTCGTATTATCAGGTCCTGGGTTTTCTGTTTTCAGCGTTGTTACGCTTAAAAGTTCCCGAAGTCTCTCCTTAGTTAAAATGGATCTGACGGTTAAACATTACTTCAATTAATTTTTAAAAGTTTCGTCCGAAACGTTTTATTTCCGTGATCGGTTCCAGGAATAAATGCAGAAATTTCAACGATTTTTCATTAATCCATGTCTTTGATACCGTCATATCATTCCAAACGACATTGCAGATGTAGTACAAACACAATCCTCGATTACAATCAAAGAATTCAGCTAGAAGTAATTTTTTGTTCCTTCGGATTGCAAAATCGCTGTTCACACCACTACACATAACCATGTGATAATTGTAAACATTAGCGTAGAATCACGTGGTGATTTTTTATTATAGGTGGACAGCGATTGGTTAAACCTTGTGTGGTTGGACTACATTCACGTGCAAAGATCCGGGTTTCGTGTCTCATAAACATCACTTCAGGAAAAATAATGTATTGTCGTGACGTTAACGAACGTGGTATGGTCGAGGATGGAGAAGTGAAGCGTCAGTGGAAGTTCAGGAAGTCTCGTAAACTTTTGTCTGTTAGCAAGCAAGCCGTCCTTCTTTGATTGAGTGAAGGTTTTACGATTGGAGTAGCGCCTACTTATGTGAAAGTGCGTGTCAACTACAAGCTTCATTGAAGAAGATCGTTTCGTATTCGTGAGTAGTCAGGAATAACATGCCCCCAACACAATCTTGTGAAGTTACACTAAGTGCTTCCTGCAGCAAGAGTGACACAGAACTTTCAAAGAAAGAGAGAAAAGTTCGCTTTGCGGATTCAATGGGACTTTCTCTCGTTTCTGTCGTTTATTTACCAACACCTGCTCCACCGAAAGCCAGATTGTCACCGCGAAGTTGGTGTGCGTTTCAGGATTTAAAAAATGCCAAACTACTAAACTTCATTCAACCACTGAAAAGACATGACTTCAATGAAAATCTCAACAGATTGAATGTTTCGTTAGAAACGATAGTAGTGAGAGACTTCGGTGTACTTGGAACCGTGAAAGTTCGAAATTTAGCCTACCACAAGAAAGTCACAGTTCGCTACACAGTAGACGGCTGGTCTAGTTGTCGTGATGTCGTCGGACAGTACGTCGAAGAATCGCATGCAGGATTCACAGACACTTTCTCCTTCGAGATGCCAATACCTACGACTCTCCTTAAAGACTGCAAGTTGGAGTTCGCCATTTGCTATAAGGTCCTTGGAGTAGAATTTTGGGACAACAATAGCGGCGATAATTACCGGCTTCTGTGTTTTGCGCCGTCGCATCAGTGGAAATCTAGAGACTGGCTTTGCAAATATAATAGTTTAGAATATAATACACAAAACAGATACGTTGGCCTTAGATTTTAGGAAAATTTTCTCATTTGTTCAGTCTTTCTTTCGTCAAAGATTTGTAAGTCTATTAAAGGTTGTCAAAACTGGGTCGCTTTGACAGACATTAGTTGTTGTTAAAAATTGGACTCGAGTCGTATATATTCCGGGAAATTTGGAACCAGGATTTTCTTATTTAATTGTTTTGGTAATTTCGTTTAAGCAGTTTTTCAGAGCCGAGGTTGAGTTAAGCAAGACTTTCACGGATTATTGTAGCCATGTCGACTGTTCCTAAAGAAGAAAGAATGTGTCCGCGTGTAACAGTTGATCTTGTCAGTTTGGCCCTTGTTTGGGTAGTACTCAGTTTCAACCCTTAAAATTAAAGGTGAAATATTTCTTGTTAATATTGGGCATGTTTTAACACCGCTGATAAACGGTTAATTTAGCAATATTGTTGTTTGGTTGCAAACTTATTGAATTCGCAAAAATTTCATGGATTTAATTTGTGCGGTTAGTGAAATAGACAAACCATGTGGTAGAAAATATTCTAATCGTGAACGATTAATGAAGAGTTAAAAAAAATTACTGTATACAGATCGAGAATGGATGGGACTCCGATGGTTCTGGAGCATTTGGTCATGCACGCCTAAACAAACTCAATCCCGAAGGGGAGACTGAAGAAATTCGTAGAAATGAACTCTGTTTATTGTCGAATTTTCTGGAGGCGGGACTTCTTTGACCCTGGGTCGAAAAAAATTAATCGGGACACTGTGGGAAAGTAAGTCACGAAAACCAGTTAGATTTTAATCGACTTAACATGTTCATGATTGGCTGAAGTTTTTAGGTGTTTAATACAAGACATTGGTGAGTGGTGACCGGCAAAATAGTGCCTCAGTCCACTTACTGCAAGTAGCAAAGGTGAGCTAACATACAGCTTATCTTTGTAGTAATACCAATCAAAAAGATCAATTCAGGTCCATGATCAATCACCTTCATTGAAAACCATTTTGGATACCCTGGCTCCAGAGGTCCGTTCTCAAAATACCTAATATGAAATAAACCCTGCTTACCATATGGATCGAAAACACGTTGTTTTCCATTGTACAAACTAATGTAATTGTTTCGTAATTTTCACGTAAAAATATGACTATTATTGTATTGCTATTCACAATATCAATTCATTACAATCTACAGCCCCTGATTGTTTCACCAGTTCCAGGCTCCCAGATAGTAATTGAGCTTTCCTGACGTCACTGCTATCCTTTCAAGACCCTCAATTCAACAAATCCTGCAAGAGACGCTTAGGGTCAACCTTGCAATAAAGATTACATGCAAACTGCGACTTGCAAATCAGTACTGCACTCAAAATTTAAACTCTCCTGTTAGCAATGGATGTCAATTCTGTTTCAAAACAATTATGAGCCCGGCAAAGTCTAGCCTCTAACGTAGACGAACGTACATCCATATAATAACAAAAGTGTTGACAGCCGATATATCAACTATTTTATGGTTGTTGATTTTTTACCTAGTAAAAAGTACTTAAGCATTACTTTATTTCACAACAATATGAAGGACAATAAGCACTTGACAATCTTCTTGAGTGAATGATATGACTTCAGTCTTTCCTTCTATCATAGTGCTAGTGGGACGGGAGAATATTTACCAAAAGGTGGCTGCCTAAGGTGTGTGTTTTCTGGTTTTTACTTAAAATTCAGTGTTAATTGGTTAAATCAATATGAGTCATATTTACATTAAACGTTATATAATGGCACTCGTTAAGATCACAACGTTTACCATGAAATTATGATTACTCAGTCTTCACTAGCTGTGCCATGTTTAAATGACTAGCAAGTCAATATACAAGCTACAACATGAAATAAACATAAATGCAAAAAAAAGAACAATGATCATGAAACTCAGAAAAGATTTATTACCATGGTGTTTATAAGTAAACTAAACAAGTCACGTTTGAGTTTTTTTGTTATGAAAAATTATATAACATCCTATTGTCTAAAAAGACGCTTAGATCAGTAATTAATATTGTAACTTTCGTACGTAAGCTTTCACAATTATGCATCAATATTAGTGTTTATTTTAAGAACATATAAACAACTGCAAAATATCGCTGAAACTTTGATCTCTTAATGATTGTATCACGAAGGGAAACGGTGTCTGATGCGTGAAAAATGTTAAAATGCAAGGTGTGGAGAGTCCACTGACCCTTTAAGTACGTGTAGGTGGTAGACTTGCTTGTACGCACAATCAGTTTTACTATACGTACTAATTTCATTAGGGCCATTTATACGAGGAAAAATAAGACGCGTCTTACTTAAGACGCGTCCTAAGTAAGACGCGAACTGTACCATTTATACGAACATGTCTTATCTAATAAGACGCGTCTTATTTTTCCTCGTATAAATAGCCCTATTAGGGCCATTTATACGAGGAAAAATAAGACGCGTCTTACATAAGACGCGTCTTAAATAAAACGCGAACTGTAACATTTATACGAGCATGTCTTCTCTTATAAGACGCGTCTTAGCTAAGCCGCGTCTTATTTTAGACGAAATGTGCCGTTTACACGGAAAGTTCGCGTCTTATGTAAGACGCGTCTTATTTTTCCTCGTATAAATGGCCCTATTGTCTTCTTGTGTTTACTTGAAGCTTAAGTAAGTACATAAAATCAAGGGGAGGTGGTTTTAGGGTAGACTATCATCCACACTCTTTATAGGAATTGTTGGCCCCTATTAAAGTGTTCCCCGAATACGGTGAAACCTGTATTATTGCCATTATTAAAAAAAAATGTAAATCTGGTGCAAAAGAAACCGTTATTACGCCAGTCCTGTTGGCAAATGACATGAGATGAAAATGGTCTTTTTTATTGTTACAAAACTGTATCAAACCAACAGAGGATAAAGCTCGATTAAACCTGTCTTGATACGCAAGTAAACAGCTGCAAACGGACATAAGCAAAGCGGGAGATAGCGGCCATTTAACGCGGCCAATGCCCGGATTAAGCACGCATTTTACACCGGTTGACCCGGGGAGTGGTAGAGTTCTACCCGAGTCATAAGCAGGGATATTACAGCACGCACGAGGCGTCAAAAGAGGGGACAGGAGCGGGGATTTGATACGAAGGACTAAAGGAAACGACGCGTCGTTTCCAAACGTGGGGAAGGGTAAGTGCGTGTATTACTATATATACTATATATATATATATATACTGGGCATTGATGGTTGCCTGTATGGCAGGCGCAAAAAAGACTGGGAAGGGGAGCGGGGGTAAACAGCGAAATGGAAAAGGGAATCCTCAGTCTCCTCTCTCTTTTCCCAACTTAATTTCCCCTCCCCTTTTTATCGTTGTATAAGTTATTGAGTGTGATAAGCAGAGTAGTGTATTAGGTGACATGAATTTAAGGGCATTTATGCACGTAGCGAGTCAAACGCAATAACCGTTCAAACAAAGGCGACAGCTCTCCTCTCCGGCGCAGAGGAGGCCTCTTTGTGTCGCGGATCGAGAGTCTGGGAAGAAGGAAAAAAGAAAGCGCGAAGAGCAAAGCAGAGCAAGATGTCCTCCGCGCTTTCTACTTTTCGATTATTGTTATTTCTATTGGGTTACCCAGCAGGAGCTTGTGCGAAGGAGAGAGAGGCGACAGTATCAGGAAATGCAAAACACTATGTAATCCGATTTGCAACAGTTCCTCTTGTGATGGAAGGTGGCTCATAAATAGCCATATCCCATTTTCTTGAATAAAAAAAAAAGAAAAGAAAAGAAAAACGGGATTAGTTCCATGCACTGTTACAACAAATGTCACTGTTTAGCTCTTGAGGAAGGATTTCCTGACCCTCAGCCTGGTCTTCCGCTGGTGTTACTCAGCCGTAATTTAATTACAAACGCTTGAAAATTTGCCGAACCCCTTGGGGGAAAGGTAAAAATGAGGATTAAAAAACTACATTTTAAGTTAGAAACGAAGCGAAGGAGAAAGCCATGGTATTACTGAAATATTTCAATGGTACAGTACACTGAGTACTCTTAGTAATGTACTAGCCTGTTCCAGGCGTTCAGATCGTGGGGATGGGGCAGCCTATTTCCCTTTAGTAAACGGTCGTTGCCATTTTTAACAGTCGATGTCACCATTGATAACCAAGCCTTTATTCATGATAGATGTAGCCTGATTCTCAGACGTCCGAGGTCGTTCGCGGTCTCTTTCGGACGTCTGAGAATCAAGCTATGATAGATGTAGTCCAGGATTAAATTACAAAGAGGCAAATAATACGAAACTACGTTTTTGAATAGTCCTAGAAAGAACGACGTTGAATCCTAAGTTGAATTTACATCAAAAGTTATCAAAAGGGCTAGGGTCACCTGTTATTGATGTACCAGTTTAGAAAGACAGTTTGCTTGTGTATGTACTTAAGACGGCATCCATCAAGGAAATTGAGTAATTTTAATTTTCAGTGGACAAAAACCTTGTACCAGAATAATTTAAACAATATCGCTTTCTTTTTTACATTTTCCAAGGGCCATAGATGTAACTAGTTATCTGTAATAACACCAAAGAAAATTTCCTATGGGAGCCCGAGAAAATAAGTGTCAAATTTTGTTCACTGAAAATTAAAATTACTCAATTTCCTACTGGATTCCATCTTAAATTTTTCCGAATTATTGCGGGTCGGTGTGGTAGTGTAGTGGTGAGAGAGAGAGAGAGAGAGAGAGAGAGAGAGAGAGAGAGATTGGGATACGAACGGCGCGAAGAGGACCGAAGAGATGTGGGCAGAAAAAAAAAACAGCGAGGGGGTGGGGTACTATCTTTAGACAGAAAATGAACAGGATGATAAAACTTACGAAAATCGAAATCGATATAAGACTCAGATTTCTATTTCATGGTACATGTATAACAGATGGAACTTGTTACTAAAGTGGAAATGTTATGCCAAATGCAATATTTACTAACCAGAAATATGTAAAACGATAACCTACATTTTTCGTAAATCTGGAGAAACGCAGTTCGGCAAGAGTTAACTCCAGGTAGCTTGGTTTGAATTAAAACAGATAGAGAATCAATTACGCATTTCAGGTCGCCTGCAGCAACCTGAATTTGTTTTTGCTTTTAAATTATTTCCTCTTCTACATATTCCCTTTGCTTTCCCATCTTGCTTTCTGTTCAAATGCCCAATATGGCCTTGACCTTTTTCTATTCTTAGTTCTTTCTTCGTCAACTGCTTTTCGTTTGGCATAATCTCTGCATTCAACTGCCTCAGCCACCTTCACTGCAAAGTTGTGCTCCATCAGCTTTTTATTGAGTTCTTCGGCAACCTCAAACCTCCTTTCTTTAACAGCAGCCTCCAGACTTTCTTCTATTTGATCCTAAAAGTCATTATATTAATGTATAAGTTAAATATACTTCTCTTGGCCTCAAAAATGAGAAAGTTGCACAAAAAATACTATTGTTTTATTTGTTTTATAGTAATTAATATGTATTATAACACAAATGTGACACCTAAAGTTTGCAAATAAGCAGTTATAGTGAAGTCTCATTTGTCAACACCATTGAAACAAATAAATCGACTAAACCATAACACAATTCAGTTCATACATTTATTAAATTCATGTACTTCTGAAGGCTAAACCACCTATTCTCAGTTTCCACATGACGTCACCAAAATTCAAATAACAGAATTATCAGCAGCTGAACACGTTTATTTGAACATTTTTCTTGGTTTGAAAGGGTTCTTCGTTTTGCGATAGAGGACGCGGCATTTAGACAGCAACCAGGAAGGCTCTCATGCAGGTTAATAACATTACCAATTTTTGGAGATCACTAGTCTCAGAATAAATATGACTTTAAACTTTAAGAGTTCCTCAAGCCATAAATTCACGCTTTTGTAGAAAAACTCAAACAAAAATGTTTCTGTTGGTTTCTGGTCGCCATATTTGCGCCCCTCAAAGGCACACCAACATGACACCTCTATACACAGCTTTATAAATTTTAGAAAACATTGTTCCGAGTATCTCACAAAAAAAATACAATGTACAGCGTATTGCAAAGACCCGATTCTTGTTGAGGCTTTTTGCATATTTATCTTTTCTCATTTCCCCACATTCTTTACATTCTGTGTTGAATGGTTTGATAGTGGGATGTGTGATAGTGAAAACAGAATTGCACATCCTTTTCAAAAACAGGAATGTTTCATCAAATAAAATAATGCAAAAGAGTTGTGAATACTTGTTACCTAAATAAACTAGGCACTCAAACTTACATAAAACCTACAGAACTAAAACATACCAGCCCTATAATTCTGGGGTTCCATTAAATATCTCAGGTAGCTAATGAGGCCCCACTCAGAGGGGTGGCGAATGGTAAAATCCGAGACTCGCCGAGACGCCGAGATCCTAGTTAGAAATCTGAGCCCGAGACTCTTTGGTGAAAAGTTTCGAAACTCAAAAAAAGTAAAAGCAAACCATGAAAAAACGAGACTTCGAGTCTTATCAAAAACGCTTCCGAGATCATGCCAAAATTTCCCGAGACCAACGTTTTTCGAGGTACCATTCGCCACCCCTACTCAGCAATAACTACTATGAAAGTTTCACTCATGTAAAGTTATGTAACTTAATGTTGTAAAGGCTTGGTTTAGCACCCTCCTTCAAATAAGCATCCCCCCTCTCCCCACCCACTCCTTAAAACTTAGAGAATTAAGTAAGTGCTTGGGGCACTAATTTGAGCATTCACCATACTACTATGTTAAACAAAATACTCAAGATTTTCTTTGTATCCTTCAATTTAGCCTTTTTGTCCCTAATATCAAACCACAAATTCTCCTTTTGTATCCTTATAATGACATTTAATGTACATACATGTATCTTGTGAAGAAGACAAAGAAAATGATGCCAAGTAATTTGATGCTGTTTGATTTATCCTTTATTCTCCTGATCTTTCACGTTGATTAAGAATTTAAAGTACAACAAAGCGAAATACAGCAGAGCCAAACAAGAACTAAATGGTTTATACAGAAGGAAATGAGGGCAAACCTTGATTGAAGGTTTTTTATAAATGGAATCTTCAGATGGTCCAGTCACAGAAATATGATTATCAGGTTCCATATACTGCCGCAGCTCAGTCCACCTCCTCTCACTGTCCTTTGTGGCTTTGCTCCTATTGTTCAGTAATGAGACACTAATATTAGGGAGCTTGAGCAACCAAGACGGTGATTGCAGCAAAACTGTCACTTGAAAAAATAAATTCTCATTCACATTGTTTCAAACTCCAATCCTCTTATCCCATCATTTTCAATTTGTAAAATGTTGGCAAATTTTTCTTTCACTAAAAATACAAAAATCGTTTTCTTGTTGTGCAACAACAGCAAGGAAATGTACAAAAAAGCACAATTGCACATGCAAAACTGTTTTGTTGATCTAAACCCTTTTGCATTTTCCCCATTCTCATTGCCATCCCTGTCATCATTGTTGCTTAAACTCCATACTAAATGAATGACATGAACATTAGATTGAATCACATTTCAATGACTCCATCAGTCATCATTACTGTTCAAAGTATCAAACTTGCAAAATGTACAGTTCACATATAGCAGATGGTAGACAATTTTTCAGAAATGGGATCCAGTTGAGTGTCGAGTTCTGTTTTCCGTTCCACATGACCAGATATAAATAGTATCACATGGATCAAACGTACCAGCATTCCGCAACATTTCTCTCACTCAATTTTAATAAATGCTGTCTACAAGGAACATATGGAAAGGAAAGGCAGAACTATAATACTTGATAATGCAAATTTATAACAGGCCAACCTAATGGTGGAATGATTCAACCTTGGCAGGGACTCTTATGTAAAAGTGACAGGGACGCTCTGTCTCATTTATTAAATTGCAGATTTTGGTCTCACTTAGGGTGTTTGGGATGGAAACTCACTCTATTTGCCCATTTGGGTATCACTTAGGGCTGTGCAAAAAGAAAGTTACAAAAGTAGCCATGACACTGGCCACACAGTTATCTAACGGTAAACAAAGAACACGATATCCCTCGCACTTATTATGTGCAGATCCCTGTTTAGTATGGTCTCCTTTAGGGGTCAGTTTAAGCTAGAACCACACCCACATTGGTCTTCCTCGGGGGTTTAATTTTAATTTTCCGACGAGTATCCCTGTCACTTTTAATATGGGAGTCCACCCCCCCCCCCCCCGATTCACCCCATGCTTCAAACAGGAATGCTTATAAACAGGAAAGAGATCATAGTTGTGTTGCAGTTCTACCTGTTGCGCTTCACAACAAGTTGAAAAAACGCCTACTGCTTAATGTGCAATGAAACATCTTACTTTTCTTGCTGTTGTGATGAATCCACTTTCTTTTTCTTCCTTATTTGATGAACAATACCACGATCACGAAGGATGGCTAATTCTTCATCGCTTGTCGGGTTCGTGACTTTCTTTTTAATGTCTTTAATCCGCTTTGCGGTTGAATTGTTAGAGAATTTGATCCTTCTTTCTTTTAAGTGCTGAAATTTCTGGAAAGAAGGGGGCGCCTAGTTATTAGCTGAAGAACAGCAAGTACGCTAAGAGTAAGAGAGCTAGTCTTGCTTTGTTAAGCTTTCACTTTCCCATAAATCATAATTAAAATAAATACCTCCCACATCTCTTTGGATATACCACGCGGAGGATTTTTCTCGTCTTTTTCACCATCTCTTTTGACTACAGAAGAATCTTGATTCGGCGGAGGAACGCTCGAATACATCGCTATATCAAGAATACATTTTCCACCGCCATCTTTGTTTCGACGCCATGATTAATTGAAGCTTGGGCACCGCGCCAAGTAAAAGCGGGAGAGCGAGAAAAGGTGGGGGAGGATGGGGTGTTCTCTGAGAGCAGAGAACGTAGAGCTTAATCCACCGTATCTAAAAAGATGGCGGCGGGTACATTTACCCACAGTTCTTAGCGCATGAAAACCATAAAATTGCTCACAAAAACGCACAGAAAAGTTTTATAAACTTCAAACCTAGGATAGGCAATGTTGCTATTATAGGGACGAATTTCGCCCCCACCCCCCCCCCGAAAAAAAAATATATATTATATATGACTTGTATTTGTAATTGGCCATGTTAGGTTCGAAAGGAATTGTGGTAAAATGTACAGCCGCCATCTTTTTCCTTACGGCAGATTAAACTGGCAACAAAAAAGATCCAACTTGTCTTGAAACACTGCTGCAAAAAGAGTTGAATGGCGATGTTGCACGTTTTACCACTCATACTAAAACTGTCTTGCAACAAATCAGTTTGTACACGTGGGTGGTAAAACGAGCAACATCGCTTTTCAACTCATGTTGCAGCAATGTTGCAAAACAAGTTGCTTCATTATTGGATTCTGGGAAACTTCCACCCACTCCTCCCCTAATCAAACATTTTGCCGCAAGTTAAAAATTAGTGTAACGTAAGGTTATGGGGGATAGGTGAACAGTTTTCTAATCTTACACCAGTTTTATAGGACAGTGGAACGCGGATATCGAACCGCTATATAACGAACGGTTACTTTATCCCAGTAATTTTAAGGTTCCACTATGTATGAAGGAGAACCTCGATATAACGACAAAGACAATCAATCGTCTTCTTTTTTGCCACCATCTCAGTTGTAAATCATTCTACGTCGATTTATGCTTGTCAATTTGGCCGCGCAACTGAGGGCGCCAGCACAAGACGCTGCTCGCGGCTCTCTGGCTTCGCCGCGCGAATAACCACATATCCCACTTCCCTCACAGATTTTCGAGCGAAATAGAGACTGCTCACAGTCTTCAAATTCGCTTGTTTTGAAGACGAAAGATTGTAATAGGTTTTGCACGATTTTTGACGAGCTTAAATTTCGGATTCATATTTTACTCATATTAAAAAAATAAAAACGACAAAAAAATCCTGTCATATACATTTTAAGTCCCAGACATGTTTTTGTCCTAATTCTTCCCGGGCAGGAAGAGGTTCGACATATCAGACTAAGGGTGGATTTCCACTGTCGCGTAATTTTTACGTGGGTAAATAAAATAGAGGCAATATATGAAAGGTCGCTCATTATATCGAGGTTCAACTTTTACGTTTACGCGCGACCTACTATACATTGCCTCTATTTCATTAACGCCCGTAAAATTTACGTGCGTACGCACGTAAAATTACGCGACAGTGGAAAACCACGTTTAGACCATCTACTGCAGGGTCATCCCGTGATGTACATGGTTAAGGGACCGCGTGGTTTGAGTTTGTGAACTTTCTGTATGCTCCCATAGAAAGAGAGTGGGTCATAAAGTTTAAGGTTATTCATTCCTTTAATGTTTAAAAGGCTGTGGATGCATGAAGAGACAGTTATGAGAATATTGTTGATTTATTCAGTTTGGCTGGAAAGGCTTGTTGGGAAATAAACTTCCTTTCGTCATTCTAAAAAGAAAAAAAGAAACATTCAAACATTAGTTGTAGAATGGTGTGAAAACACGCGCGTTTTTCCTTCTCTTCGCGCTCCGCGCTTCCTTCAAGCGCTTAGATCGCACGTGTAAGTAAGCGAGAATTCCCCACCATCACTAACCTCATCTTTGTAGCACTTATACATGTAAGTTTAGGCTTAAAGCCTATGTTCGCTATGTCCTATTGTCGCTATTATCCGTTTACCAGCTAGCTTATCCCTTGATCTGGAGACCGAGTGTTTGTCTGTCGAGGTGGTCGCTTACGAGAGCTTCGACTGTATCAGCTTTTTTTGATATAATAAGTGTTCCAGATAATTTTCAAAGTTCTGATCGTCGGAGCAGAATTCCATAACTAGATGCTCAACTAATTTAAAAAACTGTTTTGAAATTACGAAAACGAAGGGCTTTGAGTGTCTTTGAGGCAAAAGATCCACCAATCGCTATGATTAGGTTTTTGTTTGTCTGTTAAGGTGGTTTTCCACTGTCCATGTCGCTCAACTTTTACGAGCGAGCAAGCGTAACCACCACAAAGAAAAAATCAAAAGTATCCGGTGACACTTTTTGCCATGAACGCTTCTGCATTAACAAAAATTTAGAGCAAAAGGTGCAAGCTCACATTAGTGGGCGCCAACCTCTTGTACTACCGCTAATAGGGTTGATCTCCACTCTCGGGTAATTTTTTCATGCGACACACGTGAAATTTACGTCTGTCAATAAAATAGAGGCAATGTATGAAAGGCCACTTGTAAACGTAAAAGTTAAGCGGGGTTCAACTTTTACTTTTACACGTGACCTTCCATAAATTGCCTCTATGTTACTTATAGGCTCGATTTCCGCCGCTCTCTCGGTCCTTCCCGTGGGGAAGGGGAAGGAGCGTGGGCTCATTTCCCCAACAGCGGCTGGTAATGGAGCCCATATTATTTGCGTATAAACGTAAATTTTTCGTCCGAACGCGCGCGTGAGCGGATATAGTCCTGGTATGGGTGGCGAAGAGGCGAGGGGGCGGGGGTGGGTACCTATCACGTATCACGCCAATTGCTTTTAAACAAACCTGGAAGTAAGGCTGATTTTACAGTCGGGAATATATATTTTCTATTACCAATATTTCCTTCTTCAGGGTCATTGCATGTAGGTCCCTGAAGAAGGATTAGGATCCGGTCCTTCTTATTTGTAAGTTGGTCCTTGCTTCCATAATTGGATTTCTTTTTTACGCTGTGACGCATCACGGAAAAAAGAAATAAAATATTGACTACATTAACAAGTATCCGATTATCATTTGATCAGAGGAAATCAGAGGTCGAGAAACGAGAAAAAAGGGCAACAGTGTTGTCATAACTATCTATATATAGTCTCTGCTTCTAGTTTAAAATGGTATTAAATATCACGAAAATTTCAAAGGAAAATCACGCTTTACGCATTGTGAAAATAGTAAATCACGCAACACGCTGTTATGCCCAATGACGCCTCACGCAGCTAATTTGGGCCAGATCACGCATCACGCCGTTCATTTGGGTCCCATCACGCGTCACGGAAAACCCCTTTTCCATCCTGACACTTACCTAGATGTAGCACAGTCCCCATTTTCCATCATCACTAAAACTATACGACGTAGAACACCATTTTTTGCTGTAACCGTCCATGGTGCAGTCGTGATAAAGTTTGTCTTTATACAGAAATGGAAACACACAGCAATTCCCTCCAGAATTCCCACCGTGTGTGTCTATTCCACTGTCACATTCCTCTAACCAAGGAAGAAACAAAAGACGTGCCTTAAGACAGAATAATTGGTAAATACCCGCAACTGTAAAACCGGGGGGGCATCCCCTATATACGGGGAGGCTCAGCCCAAAAGGGTAACCTTTTTCAGGCCGAAGTTAACTCAATGGTTAGGGAGTTCAGGAGTTGAAGTATACGGAAGAGTAGAAAATCTATTCTTGGGTTGCACGTGACGTCACCGAAAATCAAACTAAGAAACTATCGATTCTTCTGAGTTTCTACTTTTACGAGGTATTACAGTACCTAAACATCTTTTCATAAACAAATGTTTCGTTTAAAAGGGATTTTTCGTTTTTTGCGACATCATTACGACTTCCAATTTTCAGGCTTTGACAGTGACGCGGGGAATTTAGCTGGCCAGCGTCACCTGAAAGTATTATTGTCCCAAGTTAAAAACTTATTGATTTTGGAAGATTTTTGTTAAAGTTAACATTCCCGTCTCAGAATAAATATTTCCTGTAATGATCTTATCTCGGTTCCTCAAGTAGAAGTAATTTCAGTTTAATAAATGGTAACTCCAAAACCGAAGTTTCTGTTTCAAGCGATTTATTCTTGTTCCTAAGTAGGACACCAATGTTAAAGGGTATGTCATCTTTATAAATTTAGGGGTAAACCTTTTTCCCTATCTCGTAAAAATGGTACATACCGAAATGGTAAGGGACTGGACCTCGGGCCGGAGCCTACCCGTAAAAGACTTGGGTAAAACCCTTCCAAAAAGGTATGACGTCATGAAAATTCAAGAAGCGGGGCCAATTTCGTTACCAGGGCTTTTTCCCTCCCCAACATCTCTCTGATCTCTCACACACGAACCTGCTAGAACGTGGTGGCCATCGATCACATTTTCGCAGAAAGCCGCCAGGATTTTTTGTCACCCGTGCCCACATAGATGCACATACGCAAAAACTACAAATCCACTCGGAGTTTAAAAACTAGTTTTTGGATTTCCGAAAAAAGCAACGCAACCTTAATTCTTACTCTTCTTAAAATTTTCCTCATTACGAATATTAACAGGCAAACTGTTCAAAAGATTTGGTTCCTCAGCCAAAAGGTCCGATCACCTAATAATACTTGGAGCTGGTGGGAGGAGTCCTTTGTTTAACCTCATGTTACGTTGTACCTTCCACTTTCCTTGAAAGTAATAAGTTCACAAATATAACTTGGAGCTAGCCCATAAATTGCTTTAAATGTAATTAACATAGTTTTAAATTCAATCCTACCAATCCAACACTTCCGGGTAATGACGAAGTTGCCGTAATCATACACAGAACACTTGGCGACGTTATTCCTAAAGTCTGACTCCGCAACTTGGTTCCCTGGATTCAGATGCACTCGGAGGAAATATGTACCGTGTGGAAAATCTGTAACATCCACCCATTGACAGTCGGTCCTCCAGCTGTAGAGATCGTAACATCCAGGGGATATTCCCTGGCCTCCCCGTACGGAACAGTTAAATCTCCTGTCATATCCTGCCGTGCACTTACTGTCTTCTAAACAAAAGCTGGCTTTGTGGCCCTTTGCTATTTTCTCCCCCTGGTTTAAACCTGCAGGGATAATGACAAGGGAAGGCTCTGAATACTCCTGAATAGCTTATCCTGTTAAAAGTTGGCCCAAATCTACCGAAGAACATCATTGAGCTTCATTGCGTCCCCAGTCGTACTAATGTTAGGTTCTTGGGGGTGCTCTGAAAGTGCGATTGATAAAGGTTATCGATTGAATCGCATAAACTTTTCGGAACGAAATACGACTACTGCGCGCACTCTTGTATAGGAGCTTACATTTTGCTCGAATTCTAAATGTCCCTACGTCAGAAAAAAATTACTGGACTGTGAAAACGCCGAGACAAAAGCTTTGTACACTGAAATTACGCGTTCCAGGAATTAGGCTCCTAGCAAGATATGTTAAAAATACCATCACTTTTAACTCCACTGACAGGTCGTCATTAAAATGAAACTTACTGATTACATCATACGAGGAGAACGTCTCCATGGAGTGATAGTGCTTGTGACACTTGTGCCAAATCCATTCACTTTTGGGTACAACGGGACGAAAATCTGCTAACCCTTGATTTTCAATTTGGACGCTAAACCTCAAAAGTCGCCGCATATAATATATTGAGTCACTGAAATGAACAGAATCTTGGTGAATGTAGTAGAAAGAAAAAGTTATAAAATGAAAGAGGAGAACTGGATGAAAGATTAATTGGGAAGGGTAATATTAAGTAAATGACTTCAGGTGGCCTGCGTAGCAGGCGGGATCAGCGTGGGAGTGCTGTTTTGGCGGTGAAGCCGCGAGAAGAGTGGGTACAAGTCAATTTGAATTTTTCCCTCGCGGCTTCACCCCTCGCTTCGAGTGGCGGCTCAGCTGCCGAGAGAGTACCGCGGGCACACGAATAAGCTACGCAAGCTAGACTTCTAGGAAAACGCATTGCCTCACTGATGGAATGACTCACTGATAGTATAACTGAATGACTTACTGACTGACTGATTGACGCACTGACTGAATCACAAATGACGTCTCGGTTACCTGATGACATAACCTGCAGAATCCGAAAGACAATTTTCCTCCAGTGGGCACCTCAGGTACTGCATAGGAACAATGCTCAATCGCATATCACGACGAAGGACATCAATATCAGGGACAATATCCGGTAAAGCTAAAATGCAAAAAGAAAAAAAGGGAAAGGTGTATCTGCCATGCAATAGCATGTACTGTATAATCTGATACCAAGCAAGCAGACGTCCCTCAAACAAATAATGATAATGATGATGATGACGATGACGATGATGGTAATGAAAATAATAAAAAACAATAACAATAACAATAGTAAAAATAATACTACTACTACTAATAATAACAACAACTGTAAATAATAATGTTAATTGACTCTTATAAGAAATGACTAAATCTGTTGAGTTCCTGATAAATAATGGTAATAGGACTGAGTGGAGTCTTGAATCTGATTGGTTCTCAACAGCCCATATTTATAGCTTAATTGTGCTATTGTAACTCCAAAACTGTCCGATTGGACCCGTCCGATTACCAGGAGCTTGTAATCTGACAGGTCAAATCGGACAGTTAAAGAGCCAATGAAAATCAAGTAACAAAATCACTAGCCAATGAAATTTAACTAAAAAGCACATGATAACCCATCAAAATCAATGAAAAAATAGAGACTAGGTCTGTTTTCAGAGTTGAACAGTCGTTTAATGTTAGTCAAATTGTCCGTTTTCCAGTCATTCTCTCGTGGTTAGCTATTGTCACGCCTTTGAACTCGTGGTCTATCTCTTTCACTAGTAACATACCATCAACACAAACAACTCCCGCAACCTTGTCCTCGCTGCCGCAGGTTGTGTTAGCCCAGTTATCATGTTGACAGTAATAAAGCGAGATCTCGTCAACGCGACATTTAACTCCAGACATAATAACTTTCAGATCGGTATCACCAAACTTTTTGTTAGTAACAGCTCGGCCTGCGAATCCAAGGTTCAACTGTCTGCAGACTGTCATGGCTTCCTGTATCCCCCATCCATCAGCGCACACTGTTCCCCATCTATTATCATGAAGCACTTCAACCCGCCCCTCTCGAGGGTACCCACCGCCACGGAGCCTTATCTGTTGAAAATTATAAAATGCAGTGAAATCTTCTAATGTCGATTGATCGAGAAGCGCTTTAAATCGCAAACTCTTGTCCCCAGGGCGTTTCGCTTTCTTTAGAAAATTTGTGGGAGGAGTCGGAAAAACGTTTAAATTTAAAATATCAAGAAATTTACGTAGCAAATTTTGAAATGAAGGTAGCAACTTTTCGGATTTTTGGCATTTTTTAAAAAAATTTAACAAAGTTAATGCTCGTGAAAGCCTACGATGCTTGACGTTTCAAAAAATTACCTCACGGCTGAAATCAATGAGACGTGGACTCATCAATTACGCGCACTCCTTTACAGAGACCTTTTTGTGTAGTGGGGTCTTTGCGGAGAGGGAAAAACGATAGTGACTGAATTATTAACAGCTTTTGTACAAGCACAATTTAATATGGGCATTCCGTCCCTGGCCCCGGAGAATGTCAGTAGTTCTCCAGACGTGGTCTGCGATTGGAAAACGAAACAATAGATACCCTTGCCCTAAAAACAAAAGAGGATCCTACTTATTTAGCCAAATGAAAAGAGAGGTCTGGAAGATCTACGGTTTTATTTCTTCCCTCCTAATGCTGGAATGGGCAAATTGGGTTCAAAATTAAATCATATATCAGACAACCTGTACGTACTACTTTAGGTTGGAGCATGCGTACCTTATGTCCTTGCAGCTGTGGCACGTGACATTTGACTCCAACATCTTCATAGTGATCGCAGTTCGATCTGTGCCAGCCACGATGACGACACTGACCAATGCTTTTCTCCGTTCCTCGGCAATAAACGTTATCCATCATGACCTAAAGTCGAAACAGTAATTTAAAACAGTAATGATCAGTAAAACGTCGAAAAGTTGGTTGTTTTCTCTATTTTCTTTCACCACTGAACGATACGCATACGAAGGAGCATTCTTCAAAATCTCAGAAAGGTCTGCATTTTCAGTGAATGCTTTATTTTTAAAACAATTCTTTTGGAAATTCCTTCCAGGATTGACTTGAGTACTGACAGCATTCCTCATTTTGCACTCGAGAAAGTGTCACTTAGGAATCAGTCTTAAAGAAACCCAGCACGGACCTCACAAGAAGCCCTAGCTTGTAGCAGAACAATGAAGAAAAGTCATTCAGTTTGGGCAACAAGTTTGAGAGGTACACGGTCATGGGCAAATCTACCGGATAGCTAAGTTTCGTGCGGACACCAAAAGCTGTCCAGTAGAGTATGAACAACTATCCCATATGCGACCCTCCCTTTTAGAGATCAGCCCGGCGCAGCTTCGCTCCGTTACATAAATCGCGCTCGAAATCACCCACTTACGTTACAACAGAAATCCTATCCGGTATAGTTTTCGCCGCTGATCAGGTCGAGCCTTTTTGTGAGTTGAAATACAAACACTAGGAATCGCAATAAGACTGATTAAAATTTAGATTTCGTGCTGTCCAAGTGATACCACGAAAGACGCTGGAATAAGAATATATCAGATTTTCAGCACTTAATAACTACCAAGGTGTTCAAAATCGCAGTTATTCGTTCCACCACAGTAGGACTGCAATCATCGTCAAAGTGATGGGAAGGCTGATACTTTTTACCTCATTTGTCCCTTTTCCCCCACTCTTGGCCTAATGTTGAACAAAAGATAAAGGTTTGTACCGTGCGCGTAATTGCTGTTATTTCCTAACATTGACTAAGGGAAAACCATATTTTTTTATCATTAACATAAACAACGGTTAAGTTGTTCGCCCGGCTAGGATGAACAGGTAAATTCAAGGAAGGTTCCGTCACCAGTAGGAAACGTAAAACAGTGTCCTTAATTATCGTGCTAGAAGTATATTCACACTCAAATTTATAAAGTGCGTTTTTATTATGTAAACACCATTGTAATGTCAGGTGCGCTTTCGCGCTCAAGCACGAAAACACACCTGGAAAATCAATCCAGGTGAAAAAGGACAAAACATTCCGTATCTCTACGTTATCTATACGTTATCTCTCCGGCCACTGGAAAATATTGGTTAATAACATGTTTGCTCATGTAAAGGATTAGTAGTACGAAACGATACGCATAATCTAAAACTAGATCACTGACCCTTCCAACTCCTCTCCCGTAATACGAATTCCTTGCTGTTTCTGCTGCTGACCCATATCCTAGTGATCTGCAGACGACATTTGCTTCATTTAGAGTCCAGTGGTCATCACAGATAGTGCCCCAGACTTCACCGTGTTTAATTTCCACACGCCCTTCGGAGACCTGGACTCCACCACGAAGACGTACCTCTAGTGGCTAAATGAGTGAAGTCATATGACATAAGCAGGAGCCCCTCCTCGGAAGGGGGGAGGGGGGGAGCTACATATAAAAGTGACAGGGATGCTTGTCGTCTTGCTGAGGGGTGTAAATTGAAGATTTTGGTCTCACGTGCGGTGTTTGGGACGGAAAGTCACTATATTTGCTCATTTAAGTATCGCTTAGGGCTGTAAATAAAGAAATTTACAAAAAAAAGACGTAATGTCTGTTTTGGTATGGTCTCCTTCAGGGGTCACTTTAAGCTTGAGCCACACCTACATAGGTCTCCCTTAGAGGTTTAATTTTGATTTTCTTACGAGGATCCCTGTCACTTTTATAAGTGAGTTCCCCCGGGGGAGCCCATAGCCCGGAACGAGCAACTCCCTTTTGCCGGTGCAACGGCTTTTTCACAGACCAGTTCATCAATCGTTAGATCGAGTTTCCTGCGAATTTTGACTATCTCATAAGCTCTACAAACCCATCAGCAAAAAACAGGAGACTTAGAAATTGTTTTTGTCATGTTTTGAAAATTGTAATTATCTTCCTAGGATGCGCAATCATACGAGACAGTGTTTCAATTTTCGCGGGAAAAGGTGTTGCATAATGGTGCTAAAAATAAACTTGTCTGTGAAAACGCCGTAGCATAAGCCGAGTATGGAAGTTGCACACTCCCGATTATGGGCTCCTGTAAGTGTAAATGAACAGTTCATCCAATCCCGGAAGTCCAATTTAGAAGGTAGGGAATGTGCATAAGTGAATCAGCCATATTTTCACATAGGTTCTATATGAAAATCCGTTATATTACAGAAATAATGGAAAAGGTATAAAACGAGAATAACATTAAGATGATGAATCATAAAAAAAATTAAAATAGATCAGCCAAAAACGATTATAAACTAATGAGTCAGTGGTTGAGTCTTAAAAAAGATCTCAAATTGTGGATCAGTACAAAGAACGAAATTGAATAATTAGCAGCTAATTGATCCTTGCGGTAAAGAGAGAAAGGACAGCTAATTTATTCCCGATATTTCGGTTTGAAATACATACAGTTTATCTTCTTGCTCAATGTTTCAAACCGAAATATCGGGCACAAATATTAAAAAATTGAGTTTTCTTTTAGCTCTCCAAAATTTGTCTTTGTAGTAAGGATCATTTTCATGAATAATTTTTTGAGAAATTCCATAATTCTTCTCAATGTTATTTACACTTTACCTAGACTCAGCCTTGATATGCGAGGTACATGTGAGGTCGCGCCTAAAAATTCTTTGCTTAAATTGCAGCAAAAATAACACTGAAAGTCGTTTTTGTAAATGGGCCTTTAGGAGTAAACCGTATGTTGATGGTGGTAAATAATGCCACTTACCTTTCCTTCATTTCTTCGAGTACACTTGATCTTTAACACCCCACCACTCTCACAATGATGATGGCCCCACCCCGCATGGTCACATGACATGATTGTCGATTCCCAACCTTTACACGTGACTTGGTCCAGCCAATAAACGGGCTCCATCTCCTGTATCGTCACTGAATACGACTCCTGCTCCTCAGCGTTTGGGAATCCAAGATGTCCGCATAAAACGTACGAGTTAACAGATGTCCAGCCAGAAGGACAGATGTACCCCCACTTTCCCTCGTGTTCCACCTGGACCACACCCTCAGAGATGTAGTCACTCACAACAGGGCCTCGCAGTCTTATTTTCACCATTGAGACCTACAAAGAAAGACGGACCATAGCGTATGAATGTTGAAGGTTAACTGTTCGGTGTATCGTGCTTCAAAGCTTTGGACAGTAAGTGACCCATTATGAAAGCAAATTTTGATGCGTTATGTGGCCTTCACTGATACTCGTGAAGGCGTTTTGCCACGATATAGAGGCAAGATTTTGAAACATGCTCTCCAATAGAAACGTCAATCCTATACGTCTCGTAGTTTTGACACTAAAATTTTGACACTATTTACAATTTACGACTTTAGTGGCCTTCCTGACTTGAACAGATACTTACTGCAAAACTATATATTACGAATCTTACATATCAAGGAAGCGCCTTTCTGGAAGTTGCCCTATAGTCGACTAAAATACTGCACAATACAATATGTGAGACTTTTCTAGGCGATTCACAAGTTTAAGTATCGAGTCTTTAACTTAAAGGCTTAGGCCGATTACAGCAACTAAGGCGCGATAAGAGTTTTGTCTCTTACCGTACAATATACTTTTCCGGACAAACTGTCGAAGCAAGGCTGCATTTTTCACGTATAACCTTTCTTTATACAAATACTTGGGCAGCACTTCTTACAGACTCGCCCGATCTTGATTTTTAAAAGTGTGTGTTACAGTCAACGCTGTCACGGGACCTCTTTTTGAGAAGGACACTCCCCTACAACGGACACGTAGAACTGTCTGTGTCGGCGGACACCTCCATGGAACGGACGGACACCTAGAGCTGGTGTCTGCTGTTCTTCAGTCATTTTCTGTGATTTTCAATAAAATGCACGCTTTCCTAAGACGGGGACCTGGTCACTCCTTTCAGATACGTGTATTCAGTCACTGAATTTTATTATCTTCTCCTGGTTAACCTGTAGCAAAAGCAGCAACAACGACAACAACAAAAATAGCAACCGTAACGAAAACCGGCGCAAGAACAGTACAATGGAACCCCGCTCTACGGACACCCGCCTAATACGGACATCCGTATATAAGTTTCGTTTGTCCCGACGAAAAGCTCATACATTTTCTCTCAAATTGCCCCCCTTAATACGGACAACGGTTGATAAGGACATCGGACACTTTTCTGTGTCTCGAGTTAATTACAAACTCTCATATATCGTCAACCCCTCTTTACGGACATTGTTTATTTGAGCACTGTCTATAGCTATATCTGTCTATAACTGTGAAACACCATTGAACAACTAACAGAAACAGCGGATGACCTTTCAAAGGCTCTGTTTTACATTCAGTCCACTGGCTAAATCGCAAAAGCGCAAGTACAAATTAAAAGTCACGGATTCCTTTGTTGTTTTTCAAGACAAGACTACTTGAAAGGTTAGTTCTAGTCAGAGACTATGATAAGTGATCGTGAGGTTTTTAGGATGAACTTTTTATAGCTAACTTTAAGAAATTATACGACGTCTCGTAAAAATGTCTGCTTTCGTCTTAAGATAATTGAAAAAGTGTCCGGGACTTTTTTCCCCAAGTGTCCGCTTTATACGGAACACCCAGATAATACGCACACTAATGCATGTCCTTTCGTGTCCGTATTAACCGAATTCCCCTGTAACAGTAGAGAGCTTAAAAAATAGAGACCTTTAGATTCTATGACGAGAACTACTACGACTACGAGATTTAACTTAAATTTTTTGCGCGTATTCTCAAATAATAGTCTCCCAGCTAGCTTCATTGTACATCTTTTTCACCCAAAAAAAAATTAGCACTCTTATCTTGATTGAAGGAGGTTAAGCTATCTCCCAGCCGCAAAATAATAAAACCCAAAACACTTTATAACTTGTGTCCGCTAACACGACATTCTCGCTAAAACTCGTAGTAGGATGACGACGGCTATCACGTTTTCCCGCCAAAATTTCGCTGGTTCACGCGCGAGCACTGCTTAATATTGAGAAAATCCCGTACTCGATAGTCGTCCTCGTCTTAGAGTACGAGATTTAACCTAGAGTTTTTTCGCGTGTTCTAAAAAAAACGACACCCCGGAAAGCGTCATTTTACTTTTTTTCACCAGAAAAGTCAGTACGGTTCAATAGCAAAATGATAAAACTTCTTAGATTTGATAACTTGTTCCCGCCACTGCGACATTCTTGCCAAAACTCGTTGTAGAATGGCGACGGGTATCACATTTTCCCGCCAAAATGACGCTGGTTCACGCGCGAGTACTACTTACTATTGAGAGAATCTCGTACTCTCAGTCGTTCTCGTCCTCGAATCTAAAGCTCTATAGCAATAAAAGATAAAAAAAGCTGACAGATTACCTTACCACTAGCCTCGGAATGCTTGGGCTTAGCAATTATGTCTTTGTTATGGAGTTTACACATGACCCCCGCAGGGTTGATGTCTTGACAGTTGTGGTGTCCCCATTCCCTGTGAGGACATTGCGCTATGGAGTTTTCATATCCGGAACATCTTACGTCATCCAGCCAGAAATCCTTTGTTCCTTTACCAAAGTGTTCGGACCTTTAAAGAAAGCCAGCTGTATGTCAGTGGTTAGCCTGTGCCAGGCGTTCATACATTGGAGTGGGACGCAGGGACACGAAGTCAGAGAGGGGAAAAAACCGGGGGGGTACTCGTCAAATATTTGGGTATAGGTGAGCCGCTGAGGGTCTGACACCCTGACCCTGTTTAGGACGACACCCTCAGTTCTAATACCCTGTTAAGGACAAAGGAAGAAATGCACGTCGTTTTGTTTTAAAGCCATTTACAGGCAATTGCGAAAGAGCAAATTCCCGATATAGTCATTGCTTTTGTGTACTTGGATTGCAAACAAATTTCATCCTGTTTATAATTAGGACAGACTCCCCACAAAATTATACTCCCAGTTTAGGACAGAGAGGTCAAAAACCATAACCTGTCCAGAGGCACATACCCGCAATGACCATATGAGAGAGTACCCCCCGGAAGGGAAGTAAAGGAGAAGAGAGAGAGAGAGTGAGAGAGAGGCAGCCTCCCCCCGGAACTTTTCCCCTAGAAGTCCTGGATGATTACAGGGTATCTTGCAGAGAAATTAGCTGCGTTGGTCAGTTTTCGGCTTAAACTCATCCTCAGAACCCTTAGCATTTAATTGTTGAATATACTCTTTTGTTACATGAGACTACGCCGAGCCCGTCCGCAATTCGTATAACTTTTTAAATTACCATACAATAGTGGGTTATAGGCTTATGGCGCGGATATCGTATGCAGGGGTATACTTCGGGTCTCCCAAATACATTTCATCAGAAGACCACTATGGTCTAATTCGATTAATTATTTGCCCCACATCTTGATTGCTGTGAAGTCGGAATGGAAATCACGAAATACTATATTTTCTGTCACGAATGAAGGTTTCTGTGGTCTAAGGCGCATTGATGGTTCTTATTTCATATTATTTCTATTCAAGCTGACAAATGAGATCTAAATTGACAGTGCGCGCGAGGCAGGCAGGCACGCATCTCCGCGCACAAATGATTCCAAGATTTCGAGATTGGATCAAAAGCTTCAGAGACCAACTATCTCTCATGCGCCTGCTACCCGTTTATAACCGAGTATAGAAAATCTCCTCTTACAGAAAATATCCCAGTAATCTACAAATTAGATAAACAATTGTTTCAGATTGAAAGATTATTGATAACTTCTAACACTTGTGTAATGTCCAGGGTGTAATTTAGGCTCCCGATGCACATTGAATGTCTTTGCTAGAAAAGCTGAATTGCATGTCAATCCCCAGGATCCGAGCACGCACTCCAGTTAGGGGATCATAGGTTATATAAATAAATTTCAACTACACGTAAATATTTTAGTGCACAAAAGTGTATTTACGTGTCTTGTGATAATTAATGTCTACCTGAATGACTTGAGATGCAACAATATAAAATGTTTTTAAAAGATGCGATATAACTTTACTGCAATGTTATCAATTCTAACTGGGAAAAATTAGATTTTGAAGATTAGCCATACTAACCCTCTAAAATAGCGCAAAGCGTCAGGAAATCCAAGCATTCGACATACAACCATCGCCGCATTCCGGTCCCAGCCATGGTCACACACGCCTCTCCACTGACCATTATATTCAACTTCCACTCTACCCTCAAAGCGATGCTTTCCGCCTCTAAGACGTAACCCAGTCAGGCCGTTAGCCATTCCAGCTAGCATCAAAGCTCCCAATAGACAGCAGAGACACGAAATATACGACATTGTGACAGAAACAACCCGGCTTAATTTCGCTTAGGTGTGAAAATTCCAATTCCAGCTCGCCAGCGTCTGTGAAACCCTATTTACTGTGAAAAATTCCTTCTGCTATCTGCAGGCTAAGCTCCAAGACACAGTTCAGCACAGCCAAAGAAAACCCACTTCAGGAAGGGTTTTCTTTGCTGGCGACTATGCTCTGATGGATGATTGTCTCGCCACAACAAAGTAAGTCTGTTGAAATCGGATAGTTCTTTCATCAGGGGGTACAGTACTAACAATAAAAAAAGATAAGCTAATTTCATTTGAGGGCAGTGACCAATTAGCTTTCTTAGTTCTACATCGCGAAACGTTAGTAGGTCTAGCCGGCCTCTCATCATCAAGCGATAGCGAGATAGGAGTTGTGTTTTCGAGGCCACAACTCTTCAAATCTAATAGATAAGGGTCTTATCCTGTATCCATGAATCATTGACCCAAGTTCTTGCCTCGTAAAAAATTGCAACTTCCAAATGTTATGAGATCGTATGCTTGCTGCCAAGCCATCTTTTACCTTCCCAGATCGAGGAATGTTAGGGATGGTTCAGGGATGGTAGGAAGTTCTTTGGTAGCAAAAAGATTAGGAAAAATACAGTTTTAGGAACAAATAAGGAGGAGGAGAAGGGGATATGGTTTTCCCACCTGGTACTCTTTCCTGCTCTTCTCAGAACCCTATTAATTTGTCTCATCCACACGTAGCCATATTTTTTTTTCTCCTGTTTTTGTTTTTGTTTTCATAGTTTATATTCAAGTGCTAACTACGCGATTAAGCGAGCAAATTCTGGTGTTTGTGCTTCTGGAAAACAACAACAACAAAACCACAAAAACAAAAAAATAGTCGCGACTCGTATCCTTGGTGAGAAAAAGAGCTAATAAATGTCCCATAACAAAAGGCTATTCAGTAGATTACTTAATTTGAAACAATGGAGTACTTAATTTGCTAGGATATGTGGTCTACGTGATTCCGGCCACAGGAATCGAAAAGGAAACATTCTTTACAACAAAGAACTTGACTTTGGCGTGACTTAAAAATACTTGAAACTTTTCATCGGTCGACGTTTCCTAGTTTCAGGCAGGCACTCTCAACTAAAGCTAAGCTACAAACGCCTTCATTCTTCCTAAACGGAGATAGAGTTAGATCCCGGTCTGCCTGGTCTGCCGTTCTTGTCATTTTCAATTCGCTGTATGGCTTTTTTACGTAGCTGGCACTCTCCAATATGGTTCGGTTCAAAACGAGAATATGTTTGCAAACAGTAAAGGGCATTCTGAGGAACTTAAAACAGTTAAAAAGCATAAATGAATTAGGAGACTAAACGCATCAGCAACATCGTATCGCTAAGAAAGCTGCGTGGTGTTGTGACACCCAACTGAAAATTTCTCTAGACAAGTCAGAAGTGTCTAAATTAGATTTTTTTTTTATGATTTAGAAGTCTTTTTCGTTAACTTGGGGCTACCCTATTATTTGCCATAGTATTTGAAATACTATTTAATTGTTCGGATATTTTAGGAGAACTTTCAACAGTGTTCAAGCCGTCTCCGTTTACTGGAGTTTTAGCTATCCAGAAAGGTCTTGTCGAAGCTGCGAGGACAGGAGTAACCATACTTTATGGGCTCCTTCCATACCGAGTTCAGCTTAGGAAATTTTAGAGGAGGATTTTTCTTTATATTTATATTGGAAATGTGAAAAATTCACTTCCGAAATCTTAGGAATCCAAAAGGGAATGGTTGATCATAATATTTACGCCCTTAAAACAGATATTTTACAGAAAACAGTCTTTAAGTGCCCCTGTTGTACTTCTACTGAATAAACAAGCGATTCAACAGCAGGCTAACACCCAAACCGATGTAATTTGGCTCACCAATTGCTGTACTAATTGATTTTCTCTATGTTTTATCAACCCCTCTACGGGGACAGGAAAAGCCACAGTTCTAAATTTGGAATTGCAGAATGATATCCCGGAGGGTACTCACCTATATAATCAATAGAGGTATATGGCGCCCTACAGTAGACTGTTCACAGTCCCCTATTTTCTCGTAAGATCGTCGAGATAGAGCACTTTGCGTTACGCTTGCATGAGTGTCCAAACTACTCCCCGACGCCCGCCCCCTTGGTACATTTTGAAAATCAAGATGGCCGCCATTAATGGTAAGACTCGCTATATCTCGACGATCTCACGGAAAAATAGGGGACTGTGAGCAGTCTAGTGCCGCCCGACTGGGTAGGGTTTTTGCGCCGTTTTGGTCTGAAAACGGGTGTGCACTTCACCCATTTTGGTCTGGAATCGGGTATGGTTTTCAAGGGAACAACGGGAGTGTAAAACGTACTGTTATTGTTTCAATTCCAAATGAGTGAGAGAGAAGAAGTGATGCGAATAAGAAATCTTTTTTGTTGCTGTTCTAACCTAAGTAATGATGAATGATATATATGCCCTTGGCCCTGCATGAAGTGGAGAGGATCAGTTTTTGGTAACCCTACCTTCACCAAGCTTGCCATTAAAAGTTAAAAACAACTTTATTAATTATAGGCTTATCACATGCACCGTGGCCTGCCACAGAAAAAGGTGAGATGACATGATTACAAGAAATTATACAGGAACTTTTTATGCTTCGGTGCTGTTCTTCCATGTGTTATTAGCTTATTAGTAGTAGTATAATGGGATGTTGTCCACATTATGAGGGCGCATGGTAACCTACAGCACTTGAGAAGCTATACTTAGAAGTAAAAAAAGGTCGGTACGAAACCTAATACGATCCTAATATACATAATGATATGAATCTCTCTGCTTAAAAAGCCAATTTAGAGTATTATTAAATTCTTATACTCTGTAAAACCTACGCAAAGACATGATGATATAATTATCTCTCCTAGAGGCCTATTTAAAAAATTATTCAGTTTTTATACTCTCATTTTCTCTTATATACCTAAACGAGGCCATCGTAATGTGGTTATCTCTACTCATGTCTACTAAAAGCCTATTTAGAATATTATCAAACAGGGGCACCCAACGACAATTTTCGGAAAATTATCTGTTCGGAAGACGATTTGAGATCTAGAATTTTCGGATCATTTTCTGTAAAATTTCTTGCTTGCCTGCCTCTCCTTGGATTTTCGAACATCAAAAAGTGGTATAATTGCCTATTTTTAACGGATTTTTACCCTAAAAAGGTCACCTAGAATTTTCGGGAGCCTTTTTTCTGGCTGAAATTTTCGAAAAGGTAAATTTTGATCCCTATGATTTTCGGATCACTATACTTTCAGCTAGGAAATCCGAACAGATGAAAAATTTTTAGGGGATAAAAATAAGCCTTTATCTACCGTTTAAATACTAAAATACGTTCAACAATGCTATGTTTATGTGGTTTTGAACTATGTTCTCGTTGGGTGCCCCTGATCAAACTTTAATACTCTAAAAAATCTAAGTAAAACATCCACAAACTTGTGTTTCTGGATTTCTAGAGAAAAAAAACCTAAAGACTAGAGTCCTTAGCGCCCTAACTAAGTATTTATCTTAAATGCTCTGGCAATGTTCAAAGTGTTTGAGATGGCCGACTTCTGCATCCGCTCAAATACGCTCCGTGCTCTTGCTCCTAGTAGCTTCCTCACCGACTTCTCTAGGTGTTTAGAGTAACCACCCAGTACGTCAATTATTACGTTGTACTGGTTAACCCTGTAACCATTGTATCTCTGCTTCAGCTTCCACATCATGGACCCATGGTTGAGTGCCTTTTTGAGTTTTCCTCATCTTTCTTGGGCTCTACTCTCAATCCATGGGCAGCTCATTTCCATTGGGCAGACTTCTTTCCTCTTGTGGCTGACAGGTCGCACGTCGATCTGAGTTGCTCTAACTTCGTTGTGCTCTGCATAGATGAGAATATCCCAAAACGCCTCACTCGTGGTGTTCTGGTAGGCTGGTGTTGGCATCACAGTGGAACCTCCTCTATTAACCCATGCTCTAGAAGGAACTCAAAAAACAGAATCTTTAAAGCTGCATTATGGCTGTATAGGTACTTGGTTTGTGCCAGGGAGGAACATCCAGCCGATACCTGTACAACGCTCTCAGCTACCTTCCCACAAAAACCTGCATAGGACTTCGCCATCGGTAGAGGTTTGCGTCTTCTCCTCTGTGTAGAGCTTCGAAGGTAGCAACTGCTCAAACAGTTCATAAGTGCCCGCGATGGTATATGTAGGGCATGTAGCCCAACCTTATGTTGTAGTAGTAGTAGTAGTAGTAGTAGTAGTAGTAGTAGCAGTAGCAGTAGTAGTAGTAGTAGTAGTAGTAGTAGTAGTAGTAGTAGTAGTAGTAGTAGTAGTAGTAGTAGTAGTAGTAGTTTGTATGAGAGGCCGCCCGTAAACGTAAAATTGAGCGATCTATGTTGAAGGGTATTCTCGGGATCCGGGTTTTGACCAAAATACAGTATAGTACGGGATTCGGGACAGACGCAAAATTTCTTGACTTGATGAGGGATTTGACCCCTAGCCGGGAAGTAGGATTTGCCAAAAGCACAAGTTGACAGCCCGGGGGGGGGGGGTAGGGGTAGGGTTTTTGCGCCGTTTAGTCTGCAGAGAAACTGGTATAGACTTTGCCCAGTTTGTTCTGGAATCGGGTATGGTTTTCGAGGGAACTACGGGAGTGAATGAACGTATTTATAGTTTCAATTCCAAATGAATAAGAAAGAAGGAGAAATCCATTTTGAATTCGCATATTTATCCTTAGTATATTAAATCTTTTACGTTGCTGCTCTAATCAAAGTAATGGAGACATAATTTCTTGGAGACCAGGTCTGAAAACGGGTACGGATTTAAGAGGCGAGGTCTCAAAACGTGTGTGAAAAATGACATTTTTTGGTCTGAAATATAGGGTCAGGATTTGGAGAACCGTGCGGCACACCCTCACTAAGAACGCCCGAGAGTACCCCCCTGGGGATGTCAGAAGGTCGAAATGCGGCGCGGTGTCGTATTGTAAAAAAGGAGCGGAAATGCTGGACCAGGACCCCCTTCCCCTCCCAGACCAGTTACATATGGGAATCCCCCCTTTCTCGAGCATAACGAGGCATAGCAGTTCGGGAGTAGATGGGTCCTGATTTGTGTCCATTGTGAACTACTGTATACCCATACAGTCGTCATTCACGTGAAGAATTTGATTACTAGCGCTTATCTTTATAGCGCATTTTTAGATCTTTTGCAACACAAAGACTCTCAGTTCTCTGGAAGTGATGTTTGGCATGTTTCAATGCTCTCATTCATGGGTTACATATCGGGTTTCATGTTGTGAGAAATATCCGCATGAACTGTCACACGATTTTCACCCGGTATTTACAACGCAACGGTTTGGAAGGATTTAGAGCGGTTGAGTGGTTTTGATTTGCAGCGTTTAAATTTGCAAGCCCATCGCCGTTGCTTCGAGTTCTCTCAAAATATAAGCTCCGAGTAGCGTTTTAACCATTGCGGGTCCAAATCGTCCAAATTAGGCTTGACATCTGAAAAATATGAGGCTACCCATCTGTGGCATTGATATTCACAGTGTTTTACTCACTGTCGCACTATTGAGCGTAAAGTTTACAAACGGCGCCAATGTTCGCCTAATAAACGGAAAGCACAGCTACGAGGGACGAATCGAAGTACTTTACAATGGTACATGGAAAGCAGTTTGTGATCACGGATGGAACAGGAAGTCTGCCCGAGTGATTTGTCGTCAACTGGGATTTCCTGATGTTTTGCGCTTTACTAAAGGGTGAGTCAGGGATCGTTCTCATGATATTGTTTATACCATAATATACTATTTGGATTTATAGCTGGATTTCCTTTCTGATATAACTTTAGTAAATTTCCAAGCTTTGCACAGAAATCTAGGTAAAAAGGTGTCAATAGCTGTTGCATAATCTTTATTGCACAAAGACGTAAGACACGTAAGCGTGTCCCAGATCTACAAATATCTTGCAGCAAAATATGGTATATAAGGCAATACCCTTCCTTTAAATTTATGACATAAGTTTTGTTCTGTTAATCTTGAAACGGGCGGATTTCTTCTTTTCTCTGTAGAAAGTCTCAACGTTACATTCTCTAACTGATAATCAAATATTTTATCTCCACTGCTATCCCTTGTGGCACAATAAAATTGCGGGTCAGGTGGAGAAACGCGCAGCTAGAGATAAGCCGTAAGGACCGTAATATTACTAAAATAACGCTGATAATTCAAATTTATTCACCTTCGAGCTTCCGTGATAGTGTGAGGGGGATAATAATATCACTATCACTACATTTTCATCACTCAACGCATGTGGTAGTAATTGCGGGAATTACAAAATTTTTCGTGCATCATGATTTAAACTCAAAATAATCTCTAATTAAGCTATTTTGAGAGGAAAAGAAAAGAAGGAATTTTTCTTGGAACAAAAAAGACCGACAATTAAATGTCAATCTTTTAAAGTAAAGTACATCCCTGAGGCTAAATTGTATCCAGAGACTACAACCTTTACATTGACGCCAACAATCCCTTATTCAATATCTTTGAAATGTCTTTAGAGTCCTTAGATTTTTCTAGATGGATATGCTCAAATGAAAAACAGTTGAAGGGGAAACCCCGGCCAAACACTCTCTGTTTGAGTGGCTGTTGGAAGGAGACCACGCCTACTCCTCAGGACCTACTCCTCGGGAGGTGTAGTTCAAGCTTGTGGGATTTCCCCTCCCCTCTGTGTATTCCGCAGAGGCCCTCTTGTGCCACAAGAGAGCTGGGGAGAGCTAGGGCAGGGAAAAATGCACCTCTTATCCCATCACCACCCCCTCCCCCCTGGGCTCGGTGGCTTCTATTCTCTCTTGCTATTCTACAGCCGTTTAATACCGTCAGCAACGGGACATGTCATAGGGTCCGTATTTTCCGGGGCACCCAACGTCAATTTTCGGAAATATATGTTCGGAAGACGATTTGAGATCTAGAATTTTCGGAACATTTGTTGTAAAATTTCTTGCTTGCCTGCCTCTCCTATGATTTTCCACCATCCAAAAAATGGTAAATTCCCATTTTTACCGGATTTTTACCCTAAAAAGGTCACCTAGAATTTTCGGGAGCCTCTTTTCTTGCTGAAATTTTCGAAAAGGTAAGTTTTGATCCCTATAATTTTCGGATCACTAGACGTTCAGCTGGAAATCTGAACAGATTTAAAATTTTTAGGGGATAAAAATATGCCTATATCTACCGTTTAAATACTAAAATACGTTCAACAATGCTATGTTTAAGTGGTTTTGAACTATATTGTCGTTGGGTCTTTCAGGTATTTTTAGATAGCCTTAACTAGTTTTGGTTAAGGTTATAGCTACGAGGGATAGTTTTGACGTGGGATAAAGCGTTTTCTTATTTACACATCGACTCACCCAATAGAGGGGGAAACGAAAACGTGTATTAAAGTTGATGTACTTATTCTTAACAAGACGCCATGCCTTTGGACGAGGAATTACAGGAAAATTTTGGCTTGATGACGTGAAGTGTACGGGAGAAGAGAACTCCATTGACGAGTGCCGCCACAGACCATGGGGCCGAAACAATTGTCTTTCACACAACCAGGCTGGGACAGTCTGTAAAAAGCACTTGAATGACATGATTATTGAACCTGTACCCTCAAAAGCCAGTGGAGAGGTATTATTTTGTGTCCATCGCAATTATTTTTAATCTTTATGTAAAGTCAGAATGTTAAAGCAAAGATGACGAAACTCACTTGGCAGCCGGGTGGGGGGTATTCCCTTACTGATACAGGCTAGTAGGGTATGTGCGGCGCCAAATGGTATGATTTTTTAGCCGTTTTGGTCTGAAATAGGGTATCAGTTTTGACCATTTTGGTCTGAAATAGGGTATGGTTTGTGCACTCTAATCTTGAATTGGGTATGTTTTTTTAGAAGAAGCCACTTCTTCATCATTAAGCAATAAGACTATTTCCCTTTTAATGTTTACGCCAATCGTGTACGTACCGGTCAGGTCTGAAATAGGGTGGGAAAAGTCACAGATTTTGGTCTGAAATAGGGTAAGGGTTTCAGGAAGCGTGTCGGAAACCCCCAACGAAAAGTTGTTTACTTATACAATTACGGGGGAATTAGTTCATGGTTCGAATTATTAAATTATGTCATTGGCACTTAAATAAAGTGTATTTTTTCCCAACCAGACAGTGAACTTAAACGTTAAGTTACAAGGTCCTGTGGTAGATGACTACATTTCTGAAGGTGTCGTACAGGTGGAACACGAGGGGAAATGGGGTTACATCTGCCCTTCTAGCTGGACATTTCTCAATTCGTACGTGTTGTGTGGCCAACTTGGATTCCCAAACGCCACGAAACTGGAGTCTTACTCGGAGACAGTACAGGAGGTGAAACCCGACTATTGGCTGAGCCAGGTCACGTGTAAAGGTTTGGAGTCTTCCATTTTGTCATGCGACCATGCAGGTTTGGGCCGTCATGAATGTGAGAATAGCGAGGTGGTAAAAGTCAAATGCTTTCGGCGAAATATCACGAAGGTAACGTACTGTAGTTTATCACGCAGCCGTTTTTGGCGCTTCGTCACGGGTTTCTTCCCGTAACGCTTGACGAAGCCCTAAGGGACATTTGCCTTTTTAGTAATGTAGGGGCTGTTTTTGTGGAGAGAGGACACCTCCTAGTTTTTAAACTTATTGGAGTTTTGAATAATATAATATATTATTCAAAACTCCAATAAAGGGCAAAACCACATTGACAAATTAGTGAAGAGTGCAAGATCGTGGGTAGACTTACCTGGATCAGTAAAATCTTGAATAGTAAGTTTAAAAAAAGACTGCGGTCGCAGGCTAGTAAAAAAAGACTTGCGTGCTGACGTCACCCAAGGCGTCGTCTGCACGCAGGCTAGTACAAAAACAACATACGGATCTTTTGCGCCATGTTTCGTTGTGCAAATACACTTTAAAATACCGTTTGTTTCCTGGAATATTTGCTTATATATTTTTCTTACAGTCTTTCTACCGTAAGGATTCCTAGGTCAACATCTAACGTAGAGAACGCCGTATTTTCGAACTTTATGCATGCATGTAACGATTTCCCTTTTTGAAAGAGGAGTTGGTTTCAAAATAGCTTGCATGACGGGGCGTATTTTTCGAGCGAGCGGCAGCTCAGTAATAGGCCATTTCCGTGTCGCCCTAAGCCTCTTCTTTAAAGCGAGGCTAAGAGCAAAGCCATTGTATGAAAATGATTTTTCATTCTTATGCTAATGAAAGTTAAGAAAGGTTTTGCACTTAGCCTCGTTTTGAAAGTGAGACTTGGGGAATTCGGAAATGGTTAGACTTGCTGCAACTCGACCTCTCATAAGTTCTTAAAAGTGAGCTAACCGAGTTTCAATGCATGAGGTCGAGCAGTCACCTTCCTGTTGGTAGATTGGTCAATTGTATTGACGTCACCGGTGAATTTCGCGCCAAACAGGTATGAAAGGTCCTTAAATGGCATAACCAACCAGGAAAAGAATAAATTCTTTTAGAAAGTCTAGAAAATGGCCCATTGCTGTAGTCCCCGTCCTTGATTTTGAAGGCTCAGGAAGATTGGGAGAGAGGAAAGTGCCTGGCTACGAGGCTTTGGGGGAATAAAACAAAAGAAATCATCTTCATTGATGCTAGACAATGAATAATAATTACATTTCTTGTGTGTTTTAGCCCCCCCCAAGCCTCGCAGCCAACTATGAATTTTAAAATATCGAAATTGGTCCATAGGATGGGATAAAGTGGAAGGTCGAAGTGAGGGAAGGGGAAATCACAGATAATAATTTCCTCCCTTTTTGTTCTCTAGCCTTTGAGCATACGGCTGCGAAGTGGGGCCTTGGTATCTGAGGGTCGAGTAGAGGTGAAATATCACGGCTTCTGGGGTACCATCTGCGATGATCACTGGACAATGCGTGAAGCAAATGTTGTCTGCAGGTCACTAGGTTATGGTACAGCGGCAATGGCAACGACGAATGCGTATTACGGAAGAGGCATGGGAAGGGTAATGTTATTCTTTGTGCTCTGCTTTACTTTATCTGTTACCATGTTATGGTGATTGTTTGTTACTTTAATTTAAGTGTGGCCTCGGTTTTCAATGGCTGGGTAGTGCTAAATCACTATCTTGTGGTTAAGGATAAAGGCAACTATTGTGCTATATCCTCTGGATAGACCTTTTGGTCTGGAGCGCTTCTAGTGTCAGGGATGGTGGGACGATTTGGATGATACCATGGAAGGTCGCAGACGGGTGGCATTCCTCCGGAGGTCGGACACCAAGTCACGCCTACACAATTTAGCATCAGCTTGCAGCCAGCCTGAGGTTTTTTATAAGGGCAGGAGAAGATAGCTCCTGATTAGGGTTTAAAAACAAAACGAATGATGTTTCATATGGTATCTAACCTCCTTCTGGGGGTTGTTGTCTTGGCTTGACCGTACGTAAACCGGCCTATATTTATCTGGCAAGTCTCACGGTTATATGGAAACTAGACATTAGCGTCTGACTTATACAGCTATAAGTTGTAACCTAGAGGGAAAAATTAACGTCTTCGACTGAAAACCAGAAATTTATCCCATGTTTTTCGCTATCCTCCTGCGATTTTGCTTTTAACGCCTGTCTTGACAAACGTCCTTAAAGAATCTCCGAATTGAAACGCGAGGTGAAGAGAAGCAGAATACAGACCGATTCTTCTTCTTGGTGACGTATTGATCTACTTCTTCCGATAGCCTAAGTTTAACGAAAAGCATGAATTCATTAACGTCCTACAAGTGACCTTCGTCCAAGCCTGAATTTGAATTTGAACAACAAAAGTCTGCCCTTCACCATTTTTAAGCCTTTGGTTGAAAGCCCTCCCTTCACCTGACATTTCCGACTTGTGTCAGCGACTTCCGCAAAATTTGCATGAAAAAGACAGGTTTTTAGCTAGTCTCCAAGACTCTCGGCCGTTTTTAGGATGTCACGCAAAGTCCCCCGCAAACGTTGTGTGACATCCAAAAAAACGGCTGCGAGGGAGACTACTTTTTACCAGCTAATAATAAAAACATGATAATTAGCCAGAGGTTAGTCATCCTTAATGCTGACCGAAATGATCGCAGCATTTGTGTTCACTTCGTTCTCCCGTATTATGAGGCCTGTGGATTTTCATCTTTTCCCATCTTTTCTTTTCCTTTTATTACTTTATTTGTTAAAGATCCTTCTTGACCAAGTTCACTGCAAGGGATCGGAGAAGAGCATCCAACAGTGTAAGCACCTGGGATGGCAGAAATCAGATTGTAATAACCATGAAGATGCTGGTGTCAGGTGTAATGTACCCCAGCTTCACGGCCATCAGGTATTCTTGTTGTCTCACAGGTAGCTCTCTCATCCGATTAGATAGTAAGACTGTTCTTAGCGTTCACTTAAATTGTGCAATCAGCCGGTACAAGATCTGGAACAGAAGCCTATCAGATCTCTAATAGCGGGGCTCTAGCGCTCAAAGCGCACGCGGCGGAACACCGTGGGAAAAAAAATTTGGCTATCTTTGCATCCGAGAAATTTGGTTGTGAAAAAATCGTCCGTCCGGGGGTCCGTCCACCTCCTCATATTAGAGGATGAGAAATGTCACACTTACTAGCTTGGAGTCCAAGACGTCTAAGCTATAATCTATGTTAAACTTGATATTACACATCCATGTTATGGTCAATTGACAGCCGTCAAAAAAGGGCATCGGCTGACCAGTGTCACATGACTGTATCGCGGGCTCAGGTTTACAACTCATTGAGCTTACCGCTTGTTGATTTTCAATTAGTCGCAGGCTCAGGTCTATTTTTTTCAGAAGAAATCCAGTTAACTTGTTATGGAAAAGGTTAAACCACTGCAGGAAGACATTTCTTTAAAGATCCCACGAGAGCTTCGTTTTTCGCCTTGGCGATGGAATCTTCCAGTCACTCTTTGGGCGTAAAAGGCACTTTTAGATACTCTAAAGTGCCTAGCTTACAAATTCTTTTTTGGTGTTGCAGATTCGAATCCAAGGAGGAGAAAATCCTAGAGAGGGACGGGTTGAAGTTTTTCATAATGGGCGGTGGGGAACAGTCTGCGGTGACGATTGGGGAATAGAGGAAGCCATGACAGTTTGCCGACAGTTAAACCTCGGATACGCCAGCAAAGCTGTTACGTATAAAAATTTCAGCGAAACAGGTCTTAAAATCATCATGTCTGGAGTTAAATGTCGCGTTGATGAGACCTCACTTTATTACTGTCAGCATGACGAGTGGAAAAACACTACGTGCAGCAGCGACGATAAGGTTGCGGGAGTTATTTGTGTTAGCGGTAAGTTGTTTTCCGCCTTCGCAAAACTCGGGGCAAAATTTGGCAAATGCTTGGCATGCTTGCTCTTTCTACACCCATTAGGGACTAAAACATCCAAAGACGCGATGGCAACGAAAACTCTTCCTACCCACTCACTTTTTCAAGAGTAGGCAAACCTCCTGGAGTTGAATTCGTAGGGACAATATCGAAGTTCACAAAGAGAAATAAAATTTCATCTTCGCTTGTTTGCGGCCTCCATAAGGCTAAGTTTTTGTTTTTCCCACTAAACCTATTGTTTTTTTTAAAGTTCTCGTTCCTTTCGCGTCTTCGAATCTTAGGTGGGAGACCCGAGGTGGGTGAGGTAACTTGCTTAGTTAGGGTAACCCGCCGGTCCATATAATCTCTCAAATGGTCACCCCACATGTCACGTAAACGTGATCAATTTAAAAAGAGAGATTATATGGACAAGCGGGTTACCTCACCTACCTGGGGTCCACATAAACGGGCCCTGAAAGTCCCTAATATCCATGTTTTAGGCGGTTTGACTAGGATAATGCGTCTGTAATAAACATTTCAATCAGGGTCAGTAGCCCTTGCTTACGAAACAGAAGTATTTCTTTATATTGCTGAGTGGCCGGCCAATGCCGAAAAATCTACATTGAGCGTCACCTAACGAGCTCCCTGATAGGCTGAGGTTGGATAGAGCTGCATACCCACACGCTAGTAGGTCTAGCCCGTAAAGCAAGCTCTCTGAAGAGCTCTAGGAGCTTTCCTCCAGTTCCCCGCCCGAGAGCCCCTAGAGAGCTTGCTAACAGGCTACAATGGGCCGGTCAAGTTTTCTGAAGCGCCAGCACTTACGTTCACTGTTTTATTTTTGATAAAACCTATTTCAGTATGCCCCGCAAGGCGCACGGCCTACATTAAGGCCTTTTTTTCCGGTAAATAAGTTTTTTCAGGTAAATAATTCCGAAAAATCGTTTACCGAATTTTGACGATGATTTGTTCTCTGTTAAACGTGTTGTTATGGTAACATTTTTGTATGAAGAGACAAAAAGAGAAAGCGGGGTACTTTGGTTTAGCACTAGGGTTGTAAAGGCCACTAAAGTGCCGTCGGGGATATTGCGCAAACTCTCAGTGAAAGTCTGTACTAAAGGCAGTCCGATGGAAATGACCTTTTTAGAGATGTATTTCAAAAATGTCAGAAATTTTATCTTTTGTTATTTCAGCTTTACCTGATCTTGTATTAAACATTGACGTTCTCAGAGGTTACATGGAAATGACTTCTATACCCATGCGGTACCTGCAGTGTGCCTACGAAGAGAATTGTCTCTCTGCGAGCGCAGAGCGACAGCTGAGGTAAACACAGACAGGGAAACGCAAATTTCACCAAAGCTATTTTTAGACCAATTAAACTCTTGAAATTAATCGTAAGATGGTTCCTGGAGAGGTCAGCAAACTTTTATTTAGTGTTGTCAAGAAAGAATAAAGGGATATTTTGCTCTCTCGGTATGTCTCCATTACAATATTCTGTGCGGACGTCCCAGGAATTAGACTTCCGTTTAATTACAAATAACTTTACTGAAATTCACATATCCAGGCCAACGCCCTTAGACTCCCTCTCTGTCTCATTGTTATTTATTGCTCTGTCATATCACTGCCACAGTGAAATAATGACAGTCTTGTGAGGTGTTTGTAACCTTTGAGTCTTTCAAGCAAATCCTGGAAGAAAATTAACGTTCTCAAAGCCTTTTGGGACTGTCAATAGGCACAGGGAAAAAAACTGGCCAATTGCTGAACGGCTCGTCCCCAGTAACGATTCCAGAAACAATATTGTGGGGACGCATTTCGGGTCCAGTTCCCTTCTTGTTTCTAAAGTGGCGAATGGTATTTAAACCACAGCCATTCTGGTAACGCATTGCACGACACGTGTTATTATACTTCACTTTTTACTGTGTCAATTCAGTGTGTCACACCATCGAAGTAGACGCATTGTAGTCATGTAAATTAAAGTAAAGGACGGTGTGTGTTTTCATCGAAACTGATGTTTGCCCTTTTTCAGATATCCAGATTATTATCAAAGGAGACTCCTGCGGTTTAGCGTTCAGGTTGAGAATCGAGGGTTAGACCACTTCAAACCATCTACAGATAAGTCACTTTGGGAATGGCACTCATGCCACAAACACTACCATTCCATGGAGACTTTTTCGACTTATGATCTTCTTCGTAAGTACAGAATGGAATCGTCTGACCTGTCAAAAAATCCTGTCGGCTGAACGAATTTCATGGCTCTTTTGGGAATCAAATCCGCTGGATCAATTTGTTAGTAGTTTGGCGCGTCGTCATTTAGTACATTGAGGCTTCATCATCATCATCATCATCATCATTTAGTTCTTCCTCCTCCTTTTCCTAATCATCATCAGATCCGTTATTTTAACAAGATCAAAATTAAAGCACGATGCTTGAGTGGTCGTGTAAGATTAATTACGATATAGAACTATACTAAAAAATAAGGATAAAATTAGTTACAATATAAAACTTCCATAAATCTCTTAAAATAATATTCGTTAAGAATTAGGAAAAAAAACATGTATAAAATGAATATACATTAATCACCTATAAGCAATTGACTAACAGCATTAAAAACAAAATTTAAAAAACTAGTTAATAGCATTTAAAATCGTAGTAGTTCTTGGGCAGCGATTGGACTGACAGCGTGGTAAAATCTAGTTCCTTAACATAAATCTCCTTCTTCACTTTGCGGTAAAAATACCTAAATTGGTCCGTACAATGAGTCAAAATAGTATTCCATAAAATTACGCCTCCTAAAGTTTATTGAGATGTTTAAGAAAGTACGAGTTCTAACGAGGAACAGGTAATGTTATTGCTCATTCTGACAATAGCAGGTTAGTGAAACGTTAAGTTAAAAAACGTTTACAGTTTTGTTTTTGGCCAGGGGACCTCACAAAGCCACCAAGCTTACGGGAGAGGCCAGGAAGGGAGTCAAAGAAAGTACTGGTCTTTGTCCCTCACTCCTCCCCTCCGTCACTTTCCGTCTTCCCGTTTTCCTGATTTTTCGCCTTATCCCTCATCAAAGAGCATGTCCACAGTCTAATCGTAGCTTAAGCATTGTTAATGTATGGTCGTCGGACTGAAGCCCAAAAGAGACAATTATTCTAGCGGCATGATTTTGTTGGCACATTATTTTAATACTTGTTTAACATCATTCAATGATAGTTCCCGCTTATACATCATAATTGAACACTTACTAAACACCTGAGTGTCAGCTTTATGCTACTCTAGCTTAAAAGAGAAATTGACCGACCGAGACAGCTGGACAGACACAAAGACAGACTGACGAAGAAGACAGGCTGTGTGATGACAGACATACAAATTCGACTCTTTAGACAAGGGAAGGGAACTGGAGACGAAAAGTGTGGAGTAAGAACAAGTAATTGAAAAAACTGAACAAAATGGACTGGACTTCCGTGACACAGACGGCCTTACGAAACAATCATTTGTTTTGTATAAGAAATTATATTTCAGAATTTTTAGCTGATGGTAAGTGGTTTATATATGTATCTACCAAGACTATCCCTTTATCGTTTAGACAAATTGAACACTTTTTAGGCGGTGCCATGCCACAGAATATTATAGGACATAATGAAATGGATTTAATAATTTTTTTTTATTTTTTGCATCAATCTCAGGTCAAAGGGACGGGCGCAAAATAGCCAAGGGTCACAAAGCCAGTTTCTGTCTAGAAGACACTAAATGCGATCCAGGATTCGAGCGAGTCTGGAACTGCACTGACAAGGGAGATCAAGGAGTATCACCCGGATGTTATGACGTTTATCACTATAATATTGACTGTCAGTGGGTGGACTGTACGGACATATATCATGGTGCATATTATCTCAGGGTTCATGTTAACCCCGGCAATCAAGTGGCGGAGTCGGATTTTAAGAACAATGTTGCTAAATGTTCTGTTTATGATTATGGAAGCTACGTTATTGCCAACAGGTGTTGGCTTGGTGAGTCTAACAATGTTAAAGCGACACTATGTTACAGCCGTGCTACCAATATTTTTAACAACAACAAAAACAACAACAACAACAAGCTTTATTTGCATAACTAAAACTACATTGGTAACAGTTTATCCCAAAGACTGAAACAATATGATATAAGTTTAATCAATTCTTTGTATATATATAGCAGATTTCATAAATTTCATGATCAATTCGTTCACAGATGGTTACTTAATGTTTGGGATCAGAGACTGTACCTCTTATTTTTTAGTATTTGGAGCAGTAAAACAGAAAATGAATTTCGTCCTCAATTTGATCAGATCCCCGGGCAGGGCAAAGTTATCTACTCCATTAATTTTGTTGTTTCTGCCAATCTCATCTAAATCATGAGATTGTAGTTACTTAACCGTAATTTGACCAAGGCTTTTTTCTCAGGTGTTTTTCATGTGATGGCAAGATATAATAATAATAATAATAATAATAATTTTTAATTCAAATAGTTCTTTTGTTGATAACAAAGCTAACAGCAACTATAAAATCCTATTTACAATTATTTTTGCTTAAAAAATATTCAGTCAAAGCACTATTTACAATTCCTTTCTATTAAAAAAGCACTTAATTTCGATTAACAAATCATTTCAATTAAGAAACAATTTATTTCAATAATAATAATAGGCCCTCTTTGTTATTTCTACTCTTGGTTTCGTTTTCTTTGTGCTCAAGTCTCTTCTGGGAGTTTCGAGAGAATGAAATCCGTAAAGCCTCGGAGTCATGTCATATATCGAACATGGGCTATTACTTTCCAACTGCAACTAAAAACTTCTTTAAAGATGTTACTGACCAAAAGGGGGTCTTACTATTTTTCAGAGGAATGCGAAAGTGGTCTGGACACGCATGGAGGGAATTCTGGCGGGAATTGCTGTGTGTTTCCGTTCAAGTTCAGAGGCAAGCTGTATCACGACTGTACCACAGACGGCTATTCAATTAAATGGTGCTCTACAACATACGACTTTAAAACAGACAAGAAATGGGGACTTTGTTACTAGTACGCGCAGCAGTTGTCCCTTTCGTAAACGGTCGCTGCCATTTTTGCAAAACTTTTTGACCTGTTATTGAGAGTGTTTCTACCAAAATGAAAGAAAATCGAACCAATGGTCAAACCAGGACTTCAAACCTGCATCTTACCGATGGTTGCATCGATAGTTAACAATGACAACGACCGTTTACTGAAGGGAAATAGCCGTTTGCGCACGCATGATTGACAATACTCCAGTTGAGCTGTGTCTAGGCTCCATTGTACTTTTATAAGCCGCCACTGATACCTTGCTAGGTTATCTTAGGAAAGCAAATATTCAAGTTGAAGAGGTGTGGCCGGGAACCAGCTTTTTTGTTGTTCCTTCCGCGTGGGAAATTGATTTCGATTGGATCGCTTGATATTCATGCCATAATTTTATTAGCATTTGCTTGTAAAACGGTGAAAAAAGATCTTTATACTATTATATCAGCTGTATAACAATATTTATTTCATTACAATTATTATTTCACACTTCTGAAATTATTTTATCCTTAAACCTCGAAGACACGTTCACTGGTACTACTGGTCAAGTTTTAACTGACCAACCTTCGTTTGGTAATAAATATCGCCAAAAATGCATTTCAGTGTATATTATAATTGTATTATAACCGTATGTCGTATCTAATCATACTTTAACCCACTGGAATAGCTCGTACACAGTTGTGAACAACTTTTGCGTCTTGACACCCTTACTGCATCGGACTCGTCCTTAGTCGTCTCCTTGTCTCCTATTAATAGCGCGGTCAATGGAAGCGCGTGGGATGATGGGAAGGTGGAAAGAGAGGATTCTTTTTCATTTCACCTTCCCATCGTTCCATTCGCACCAGAAGTAGTATTAGTCTCCCGCGACCGTTCCTTGACCGCTTGCAAATAATAAGAGACGACTAGGGACGAGTCAGTTACGGTATTCGCCACTTGCCCCCCAAAACTGGGAAACTGCCCACCTATCCCTCCCCTAAGCCAACATTTTGCCCTAAGTGAGAAAAAAGTGTTAATGTTGCTTAGGAGGCTTAGATCTACATTTTGCATAAGCCTTGTTTTAAATTCTCTAGGGACGGCTGTAGTACCCAGGAGAAATGAAAAACAAATGTTATGCAAAATTTTGGGCCCGGGGGGGGTACTCCCTAATATGGGCTATATAGGTATGTGCGGCCCCAAAGGGTAGGGTTTTTCAGCCGTTTTGGTCATAAATTGGGTATCGATTTTGGCTATTTTGCCGCCATTTTGGTCATAAATAGGGTAACGATTTTTACACTGTAGTCTTGAATGCACTTTTTTCGAAGAAGCTACTTCCTTATCATGTCCCCCTAACCTAATAAAAGCAGATAAACATTGCCTTTAACATTGGTCTGAACTAGGGAAATAATTATAAGGCAGGTCTGAAACAGGGTATTGATTTAAGGGTCAGGTCATAAATAGGGTATCAAATTTTTGGTTTGGTCATAAATAGGGTAGGGAAAATCGCAGATTTTGGTCATAAATAGGGTAAGGGTTTTGGGAAGCGGGCCGCACACCCCTACCCAATTTTTCTGCGAGTACCCCCCCCCCCGGGATTTTGGGGGACAAGCAAGGTGTATTTATGGGAGATGTGCAATGGCGAATAGCGTTTCTTTCAGCTCTCTCTTATCTAATAGCAGATGTCCATCTTCTGGAGACAGATGCTTCCCTTATAAACAGACAAGAAGGATGAATGAAACGAAAGGTGTCCATTAAGATAAAGTTGATTGCAAACAAAAATGGAAAGCAGTGGTGGCAGAGACGGAGCCCTTTGGGACTGTCGCACTGAATGTCCGTTTAACAGAGATGTGTACTAAAGTTAAAGAATACATGAAAAACATATATGTGAACTGCGGAGTGAAGAATTAAATGAAGGAAGATCATCGCAGTTATATACGCAACTTTTAGAGATGCCTAATATGGAGAATTTCAAGGAAAATGATTTTAGAACGGCGGAGCCCGGCTCTAGCTGTCTGTTTTAGAAAAGTGTCCGTCTTATAGATTTGTCCTTACTAAGATAGAGACTGCCGTGTTTACAATCAAACCAATAAACTGGATAAAAACTGCTCGCGAGGACCACACGGAAAAGAAGAAACACAACTTAAGTGAGGTTAGCCGATTGTCCCCTCGTTCGTAGGTTACAGAAACAATAGTTTTATAATTTTTCCCAACACAAATCCTTATTTTTTTCAAAGTTTTCAAAGTTTCTTAACAATACTGATGTTCCTATTTCGATTGCTCGGGTAGACTTTCGAAAAAAGCCTCCGCCCTTCGCTAGGACGACTTGTGGCAAGTCTAATATTTGAAAGTTTTGGTTGAATGGAAAGCGCTCTTGGCGGGTCACAGTTCACATTCATGCAATATTGATTATCCGTGCAATGACGTTATATAAACCTGAATAATATATGCAAAGTACGTTGTCAGTTCGCAAAAAGAGTCTCGTTGAAAGCGGGTCAACAACATTGTGCTCCGGCGCGGCCAGTGCTGACTTTACGTCAACTGAGTTGCAGCATGCGGTGCTTCGTTCTTTTGCAACCGCAACCAGTGCAAGATGTTGGCAATGAAGCTCAGTCAGGTGCTTCTGTGAGTACTGCTCTCTTGGAACACACGATTTTGTTACACCACGTGCTAGGCCTTCGAACTCCACTTCTACGCCAAGGAGAGGTGACGTATTCCTTTTCCTTCGGAGATTTTATGCGCTAGTTGTAGTATGGAAGGTTCTGTTTTTCCTGTTTGCGGGGCTTATCTATTACCTTTTACAGGGTAAGTTGTTATTAATTTTTCCGTTTTGGCTGGTCGACATTCCCGAACAGCGCCGGGCTGGCAATCACGCCTACATTCTGGAGTTTCGCCCGTGTTTGTTTGGACTTGTGGGAATTTATTACCGCCTTCGTGGCGCGGTTTGCTTTATGTTTTCATTTTCCCACTTTTTTTACTCGCGTTCAAGAATCGTTTGAAATTTTTTTGGCCGGGGATAATAGTTTTGCGAACCTTCCGTGATTTGTCTAGGTGATGTACTGATAGTAGGTTTGGTATTTTGGTAAGCGAAACTGAGCTTTGTTCAGTCTTCATGGGGCTTTCTCAAGGGAATAATCCTTCTAAGCAAGATGAAATTTCAGGATCCGATCCAAACGTGTTTGTAGCAGTGGAGATTCATAATCTCATTCTCTTGTTTCTGAGATAATTGTTAAGTTAGGATTATGGGACTCACGGACCAGTTTAGCTTTGGGGGAGATTGATTTAGGATTAGGGATATTCACGGTTGGATGTTTATGTGTGTAGATAAGTAAAAACTGGACCTAGTACAAGATGGTTCGGACTCGCAGGGCTCTTGGCAAGCGAGACAGGAATCACTTGTCCCATAACTTAATGGTACTAATTAGCCCGGGGGCGAGCTAATTAGTCAGAGTAAGGGATACTGATAAACAATTAGCATTCGTCATAGTTAGTAGAGGAGGCTGGATATGAAAACCGGAAAACATCAAAGATAGAAAAACATATAAAAACATCAGCTTTGCAGTCTATGTTGGAAGCACCCTGACGGTGCACAATCTCTTGTTTTTTGCTCACAAATTGTGACGGAATACTGAATGAATTAATCACGGCGACGTTTTCATTGCAAACTGAAAATAAATTATCGAACTGCAAACAAATTGTATCCACACGCATCGATTTCCGCATTGCAATTAACTAGCCCGCGAACCGCAAAGACGTATTTCTGGTCGTCGCTTCTCTCTTATTTTTCGGAGGGAGAGAAGCGACGACGGGAAATACGTCTGCAGTTCGCGGGCTAACTCCTAACAAACAAACAGTAAATAAATTTACACCTTGCAAACAAAAAATAAAGTTCTGTAGCACCGGTAGACGCAAGGTGCTGGGGCGAATCTTTGGGTTCTTGCAGTGGGTGGCGCCAAAATTCAACAACATTGATCTAGTGAGAACGTTTGAAACGATACTTGAACTGGAGAAGAAATGAACTATGAACTATGTGCTATGTATCTTGCGATGGGAAACGTAGTGTGAATGTTTGCCATTCTGTCAGAAGCAGGGGACGCATTGGTCTTTGGGGGACTGGGAGAAAAACTTATGCAAATCAGTTAACCGATATAACCCCCCCCCCCGCGCCACCCCGCTCCCTTTCCCGCCGCGTGTTTTTCACCCCCACCCTTCCTCCGAGGCTTTCATGCCCGACACGCAAGTTAGAAAAAATGCGCTTAAGCCAACCGTGCACAAAAGTGGGTTAACCTGCGTAGCAGTCACAGGACCGGACTATCTAAATAAGGAAAAATAATTATCAGTCGGCTCCCGTAAGTATTCATTCATTCATTCATTCATTCATTCATTCATTCATTCATTTTGCCATCAAACATTAAAACACATTTCTAATTTACAATACACAGACAATTTATAATAGACACTATTCTATTTTGCAAATCATCAAAAAAAAAAATTGGTGATGGCAAGGAACTGACTGGAAGCCTAGAGAACCCTGGGGCTTATGAACTATGGTTTCCTGAGAATATATAGGGCACACCATGAATTAAAGCCGCTGAATGAAAAATGGATAAATAGATAAATAAATAAGTAAAGAGAGTAATAAGTGAAGTAAATGAATGAATAGATAAATAATTAAGTAAATAAATGAATAAAAGGGAAACGAACGCACGTCCTCCTCCCACGCGCGTGCCTCATATTTCCTCCCATAATTTCAATTACCGTTTTTCCAAGAATAAGCGCCGGGATGCTTATTCAAATTTCGGCTAAAAGGAAGACGCTTAATTGAGACGGGGGGGGGGGCTTATTATTAAGTTTTCCTTTCAGCAAATTGTAACTTTATTTTGGCTAAATATAGAAACAAACGCTTAGCCCATGTTCATGTCTTTAAAACAGTCAGCGGTTGGTAATCAAGCGTACTATAGTCCCTCACACACTTCACACTTTCCACACATTTATTATTTGGTTACCATAGTAGCCAAGCTCTGAGTGGTTGCTGACCGGGAAGATTTTCTTGTAATGACCGTGCATTATGAAAAGTTTGGTTTTGTAACATTAAAGCGGTTTAAGAAGTTCTTTTCTTGTCTTTCTACTTTCTTTTTTTCCTTTTTCCTTTTCTTATTATTTCAGTTTTGTTTTGGTTCTTTATATGTTGTATATTTAATATTTTTATATTTTCTTTCCCCGTTGGTTTCTTTCCCTTTCCTCCTACTTGCCGTTCTCCTCAAGTGCTGCGCGAGGTTCTGCGATTCACTTATTTCTAGTTATCATCATCAAGTATCGATTCTCTCATCAATAAAGTGAAAATAGAAACGCCTTTTCCAGGCCTTTTCCTTTTATCCCTACTATTTATAATAGTGCCGGGGGAGGCGAGGGGGACGCTTATTTGAGAGGGACGCTTGTTTGATATTGCGGCCTACGCGGTTAGCGCTTATCTGGGGGAGTGGGGTTATTATATTAGAGCGTTGGCGCTTATTCGCTGGAATACGGTACGGTATGTCCGGAAGCAATGTACAAGCAGCTCTGTTCGCGTTACTACTCGCGTTACTTTGTATGAGACAAAAGAGCAACTTATTGCGTTACCGTCTGGATACAAACAAACACAGATTCATTCTTTGGTAAAACACTTGAGATCGCGTGTGCTTCAAAGGTTAACATTATTAAGGGCAGCTAGGCTTTAACACAAGCGGCCACAGTTAAAATGCGTTGCCTGCTCTTCGCTTTTCTGTTTTTATTTTCCTTGCGTGTTACAAGGGGTTCAGAAGTACGCCTGATCGGGGGAAAACATGTTTATGAAGGAAGAGTTGAGATAAAATATGACGGCGAATGGAGAGCTATTTGTGATCATAAATGGGACAAGAAAGCTGCTGCAGTTGTTTGTAGAATGCTTGGATTTCCTGACGCGCTGCGCTTCACTAAAGGGTGAGTGTTTTATAGCGTTTGGAGGCAATACAATTGTGTAAACACAAATACTTAATGAGGGATTGAACCTTCCGGGGGACTCCTTTATTTTGCCTATACGGCTATGTGCCGCTGAACAGGGTATGGCTGTCGGGGTCTTGAGTCTAAACCAGGGAATACAAATTAACCATCTAATGTCATACCGGAAGCGACTGAAAAAGTGTAAAGTTTCATGATGTTAGTTACATAATTCTGTATGGAAAGTGAAATGAATCAGGGAAAAAAATAAGGCACTTTGTCTTAAACAGGGTCAGGGATTGAAAACCTCGGCGGTACACCTCTTGTTAAACTTCCTTTGAGTTCCCCCCCTCCGGGATTAAACTAAGGGCCTCTTCTCGGGGAAGGGATACCACTTGATATACGCTATCCTACCTGGTATGCTTCGCTGGGTGAGGGCCATAAAGTTGACTTTTTAGTCTGAGACGGGTTAGCCTGTGCCAAGCTCTCAGATATAGTGGGAACGTATTAAAACGAGCAAAGCGAAAATAAGACGCGCACGACTTGGGAAAGGGGGCGGTGGCGGCGGGAAAAATGGGAGAGAGCCGCGTCTCTCCCCAGCCCCGCGCGTTTTTCGCATTTCTTATTACTGACCAACTTTCCACCACCATCTCGGAGCCTGGAACAGGCTAGAGACGGGTCAATGGTTTGGCCGAATTTTCCTACACCCGCTTGAAGATTTATGTGTTTCTGTTTACCCAAATCAGTACTCTTAATTTTCAGTTTGCGAAAATATAGCAAATGCTGGTGAAATTTTTAAAATACGTGCTGAAATGAAGGCTTCCTTTTAATTTCTGGTTTGAGCAGGGGTACCATTTGAGATGCGGAAGCAAAATTTGAAAGGGGGTGTTCCAAGATCCCAACGGAATACCCCCTAAATTTAAAAATTCCCCCTCACCCCAGGATTGAATCGAATTAAAAGACTTCTTTGATATAAGACTAGTTATTTGTTAAAATTAATGTGTTCATAATAGTGATGGTGTTGCCGGGTTCAAACAACCACGTCTTGAAAATAGTTATGTCCAATAATTACTTGACATCTTCACAATGATTTCTGGATACTGAAAGGGTACTATATTCGTGACCTCGATTTTTTTAAGTAGTCGTAAGAAAATTAGACAAGAAAATATTCAATTTCTGTCGAGTACGATAAAAATTTTCAAACAGGATCATGCCCATATATCCTGATAACTGCACAATCTCTTAACCCGTTCAACGTTAAATGACTGTCTAAGCCCGGAACTACTCTTTTCAGTAAGAAAGCCAAAAAATAATTCAAGGCAGCGGTTTTCAAGTGACAAAGCCAATAAATTATTCAGGTCAACGTGCTTATTGTTGGCGAACAATTCTTGTAAGGACCACTTGGACCAACGGCAGCAAGAGAAAGCCGCCGGATCTTTGTGTAGATCAGAATCAGCACTTAAAATTGAAAGTAAGGCTGATCGGACAGTTGAGGATTGGTAATTTATTTGCTCAATACTCCGTCTCGTCTAGACAAAACTAGTCTTCATCAGAGGCTAGAAAAGCTAAGTGAGAATAATACAAAAATAAAAATAAAATGTGGTGGGCGGACAAAGACAATATACGGAAACCTACTTGTACAGAGAGGTTAATATAAAAATATATATAAGTGGATTAAGTTTAGACATAAGTTTGAGATAACTCTGATATCTACTGTACCATCAGAGAAGTTCCGTTTGGTCGAGGAAATGGCAAATTCTGGCTAGATGATGTCAGGTGCGGTGGTAGAGAATACGGCATTCAATACTGCTCTCATAGAGACTGGGGCCGACATAACTGTCTGTCAATAAACCAGGCTGGAGTTGTTTGCAAACTTCATCGGACTGACGTCATTTTTGAACCAGAGCCATCAACAGCCAGCGGTGAGGTATGCCTTTTTTAAACAACACTGTGAACATTGATTTCTTTAAAAGGTTGGGTAGAAATTCTCTTACAACTTACAAGTAGAAAGAGAAAAAAATTGAGGGCAAAAACAATGTAAAAAAGTGGGCGAAACAGCTGTCTTTTGCTGTCACTGCCCAGAGAATATGGCTGAGCGCATGCGTAAGTACAAGCCAGGCTGTGAGTTGTTGTTTCCCTTGCTTTTTCAAAGAAGTAGAAGTGTTTTTTTTTTTCGGACGAAGAGAACTGTGCATTTTTGCTATCAAGGGAGCCGAATTGAAAACAACTGACCAGTGCTCCCATTTTCCAAATGCTAATCGCTAATAAGGTTCTAGGTCATAAACGTAATCTTTTATCGAAATAGCATTTTTATCGCCTTTTTTGGTGGAAGAGAATAAGACCGTCCCTCTTCTTTACAGATGTTCCGGAAAAATGTATTCTTTAAGCCTTATATATATATACGGTTGTAAACAAGCAACACTGATCCAGTAGTCTTACTGTTTAGTTGGTTGGTTAATCTGCTTGATCTGCTGAATTTTTCACTGAGACAAAATTATTCAAAAGTAGTTGTTTTCCTATGCAGGCCTGACATAGCTGTGCGTTTTTCGTATTAATTTTAGGTTAATGAAGTGAATGTAAGGCTACTTGGTCCAGTCGAGGATGACTTCATGAATGAAGGTGTTGTCCAGGTGGAGCATGATGGAAAGTGGGGGTACATCTGTCCTTCTGGCTGGACATCAGTCAACTCGTACGTGTTATGCGGACATCTTGGATTCCCAAACGCTGAGGAACAGGAGTCGTATTCAGTGACAATACAAGAGACGGAGCCCGTCTATTGGCTGGACCAAGTCACGTGTAAAGGGTGGGAGTCTTCCATCGTGTCATGTGACCACGCGGGGTGGGTTCGCCATCGATGTGAAGGTCTAAGAGTATTAAAACTCAAATGCACACGCAAAAATGACACGCAAATTGTGAGTTGGATTTCCTTAGTACTACGTTACTTTAATGTCCATTAATTTATCTTCATCAATTTGACATATGCTGTTTGCATCAAGAAAATCTCCCTAAGGACGAAACTGATCATCATCATCATCGTCATCATCATCATCATCATCATTATCATCATCGTCATCAGCATCATCATCATTCATGGTCATCAGCATAACCATCGCGTTCGAAATACCAACGTCCTCATCATCTTCCCAATCGTGATCACCGCCACCTTTTGTGTCCAGCTACATCTACATCGTTTATAATTGCAATCATCTTTCCCACTCAGCTTAACGCATGCGCAAGTCCGATCAAAACGTAATAACAAACAAATACATGTACTGCACTTTCAATACCCTGCCTCTGAATTGGGACATTGAGAAGGAAAAGCAATGATCAAACTAGTTATGACGATATTAGTGTATTTTACAATGTGTATTTTGACTTGCCAAGTCTACAGAAACACGACTCCGCAGCGGAGCCCTAGTGTCTGAAGGACGAGTGGAAGTGAGAAACAGCGAAAACTGGAACACTATATGTGACGACCACTGGACATTGAAAGAGGCTAATGTCGTCTGCAGGTCACTTGGATATGGGTCAGCGGCTATGGCAGCAAAGAATGCCTACTTTGGAAGAGGAATTGGAGATGTGAGCCTAATTTCTAGCCCATTTGTATGATAACAAGGCTCTTTTGGTACAAAAAATTAAAATATATACTAAAATTAATACTTGGCTCTGGGGCGTGGGGGTGTAGAACAAAAGAAGTCATCTTGAGACTCAGTAATGAACAATAAATTTTTTGTTTTTTTTTTTTGCGCTAAAACTCGGAACTATTAAAAGTATGAATTTTAATATATCGAATATGGTCTATTAATACGTTGTTTGGAACGATTTTTAATTTTACTGTTTAACACAGCAAGAGGGCTTTCAGCCAGGGACAAGAAAAAACATTTTGTACTTCAAATAAACCACCTGTCAACAAATTTATGGGCCAACTATTTCTTACAACGCGCTTTCAGCTTTGAATTTGTTCTACTACCCGAAAGTTCTCGTGTCTATTGTCATCAAAATTTAAAACTGGTGATATATCTTTATATAGAGGATATATCTTCTCGTGGGGCGAAGATATGAATTTTATTTTCGAGTGGCAAAACAATATTTTACCAACGAGCGGAGCGAGTGAGTAAAATATTGTTTTTGCCACGAGAAAATAAAATTCATATCTTCAAGCCGCGTGTAATGTTTTTTTTATTATATAGACAAAAAGACATCGATAAAATAATAGAGGGAAATGACCTAAATTACGTCATCGTTAAACTCACGTGTGAGATTATGGAAAATAAACCACTCGGGTCCCGGATGTAGTTTTTATGAATTTTACGAGTGGTATATTTTCCAGTAAAACACTCGTGTCTATATAATAAATGTAATTGTTTCACACTGAAATAACACTTCAGTACCTACTATAGTAACCTGCTCTTTGATAACAACGGAAAGCAAAAAGGTAATTGCTGTTCAACCTAACTTTTTTCTCCCTTTGTAAACCCCTAGCTCTTAATGTATTTATTGTAACAGTAATATTTTTTTCTAGAAAATGCTACTCGACGTTCACTGCCAAGGCACCGAAAGAAGTATTGCCCAGTGCAGACACAAAGGTTGGAATAGATTGGTTTGTAATCATTACGAGGATGCGTCTGTCAGATGCAATACGCCACAGATTCAAGGACATAAGGTATTGCCACTCTTTCGCCCAGATATCACGAGCCATGTTTACTCATCGTTGTCCCGACTTAAAATCAGGTTACTTCTTTATCAAATAGACCGGTACATTTCGGCGAGTTTAATGACAACTGAGACGAGATTGACAATGTCTTCGTCAAGGCACTTATTAGTACTGTTTCTTATCAATAGCACCACCACCATCGTTTTGCATCGCTTACAGGGTTTCTCGCCAAAAGCCTATAGATATTTGAGAATGTTTAGGATATATTTTTGTATAAGACTTCGAAAATCCAGGCCTAGCAATTCCGGGAGGCCGGGTTGCTGGTTAGACAATGCCACAAACGCCCTAAAGGTACCATAATATCGATCTGTGGGCGTAGGTCCAGTTCAGGTTATTCCCTGAGAGGTAACAGAGATGAAAGAGTCGATTAACAAATAGTTGGCCTGATACCCAAGGTGCCTCAAAAAGACAATGACATACGGTAGGTCGGACTCCTTATGAAGAACATATGAAACATTTTGGAGCAATTTTGCAGCCTCATCAAAACGAGGCTGCGAATAACATCAAACGTCATTACTGATGAAGGGATCCGGCTCTGCTAAACTTTCAACAAATTGTTGGTGTTGAAGAATATTTTTTGTAATATGAAGCATCATTCACTTTGTTTCTTAACGCTAGTATCATAAATTTACAAGGTGTTCGACCTCCATCAGATCGATGCTACTGTGACTTTATCTCCTGAACGGAACCAGATTTAAACCTCTAAACTGTAGGGATTGCTTTTCCTAAAGGGAAGTGTTTCTCAGGTCAGAACCTTGCCCCATAGCAAAGCTTTGGGGTTAGAAGGTGGATTAAAGGCCCGTCTTAATCGATGATAGCGACGACGATGGTCGTGATGATCTATTACCAGCTTTAGTAAACAGATCTATCTTGGGACGTTCCAGAACAATGCACCCCTTGCACATAAGCAATCCTAATTAACTTAGAATAAACTTTAACACAGATTCGCCTGGCAGGCGGTGCAAATTCACACGAGGGGCGAGTTGAAGTGTTTCGTGATGGCAGATGGGGAACAGTGTGCGCAGATAACTGGCGAATTGAAGAAGCCATGGTTGTGTGTAGACAGTTAAACCTTGGATACGCCAGTCAAGCTGCCACTCGAAACTATTTCGGTCCTACAAATCTCAGAGTCATTATGTCCGGTGTAGCTTGCCGTTACGATGAGATCTCAATTTATAACTGCCAACGCGATGACTGGGAGAATGTTAGATGTAGCAGCAGACATAAACTGGCTGGAGTTATTTGTGTGAACGGTAATGCAGTT